CATTTACTGAATATTATCTGACGCCCCATGCCAAGTTTCAACCAACACAAAAATATCCAGCCCATCCAAAATCAATTCATGAACAATATCAAATTTTGAAACAATTGATCTGATATTTAACAAACCAACATTTATTAAATTTACTTTATCTCCGGATGAAATGTTACAATCCTCCACCTTCCCACTGGCCCCACTACTCTGTATAAAAAACCCGACTTATCAGCTGCTTCATCCACTTTTGCCTTGTCAACCAGAGCTTTGTGCTCCTTCCTTTGGTCAATAGTCAAATCATGGCTAAGACCAATGTGTTTAAACTCTTCAGACAACAACTTCATTCTGGAGACGTTCAGCATGATGTTATTTTTGACATTCGAATTATCAAATTTTACCAATATCGGTCGAACAGCACCATCTTTCTTTTTTCCGAGTCTCATAACTTTGACAATGTCTTTTTCAGATATCTCGTCCGATAGATGTTTTAATATTTTCATAATATTAGAACGGTCGCTATTACCCTCATCCAGGCGGAAGAAAACTAAATTCAATTCTCTCTCTTTAAGTATAGTTGCATCATTTAACGTTTTATGTACAGCCTTTACTCCATCAATAATGACATCAACACGGTCTTTGACTTCACGTCTAACAATGTCGGCAAATGTGGTACCCATCTCATTGTTAATTACATTGACATTGGTTTTAACTTCTCGCTTAACAATGTCAGCGAACCTATTACCCATTTCATTTTTCAAGTTTGTTATTTCATTACGAACTGACAATTCATCATTATCAAGTCGAAACAATGTACGTTCATTTAACATAAGACTTGCTTTGATATTATTCATTCCTTGTTGGAGTTCATCATTAAATTTATCCAACTTTGACAGAATCTGAGCACTACCAGCCTCAAGATCATTGAACATTTTCTTGAATTCAAAACCTTTTAGTTCGGTTGACGATTCAACACAGTCGTCACAGAACCATTTTAAATTGTTATACGCTTCAACTATCTCGCATATAGGTTCAGTCAAAAGTGTACATTCCAAATGAAAAATACTATTACATCGATAACAGCATACACGTTTTTTATTCACCTTTAATTCTTTCAAACACTTTCTGCATGTACATTTCTCACCTTTAGCTACAGACATGCCGGCGCACACAAATTATAATGAGCAATCACGTGACTCCAAATTAAAAAAAAACTTATTCTATAATTAAACTTTATAAGTAACTAAAATTATAATATTATTTAAACTAATTTATATTAAACTAAATTTACTTAATCGATTATTCTAAAATACAACAGAAATTTATCGAAATTAACGAATAAAATTGAGATTTACTAGCAGCGAAAAATATCCAACCGTTACCGCCAACTAACAGCCAACAGCCAACCAACTACAACCAAGTAATATATAGTATGTGTGTGTGTGCGTGTGCGTGTGTGTGGAGACTTTCAACTACTTCTAACTAAAAAGAAGCCAATTTGGGCATACACATAAACATATAGGCTAGCAGAATGTGAGTGTGTTCGATATGTACAAAAGCCAACATATGCTATTGTATGGATAATTGATTCGCATTGAGCAGAAGAATAAAAAAAAAACAAGCTGTGGTGATTTTTTATAAATTGCATATCAATGATACTACTTCATAGCATGAATCATCTGATCTATCTAGTTGTTAATTGATAGACACATCAAAAAAACAGAGGTGCACTACTACGCACGTACACACACACACACACACACACACACGCAAGACCTACCGACTCGAGCTAACAAATCAAAATCACTGGCTTTCAAACTGGATATATCAGTTGAAGCTGTCGTTTGTTGAAGTTGTTGTTGCTCTGGTGAAGAAGGTTGTTGTTGTTGCTGATGTTGTTGTTGTTGCTGATGTTGTTGTTGTTGTTGCTCTGACATTGAGGGAGGATCTTGTTTCTGTTGTTTCAAATCTTCTTCAAGTTTAGCCTCCCTGAAAGTTAGAAACAAAACAATATGACAAATCTGAAAATTTTTTTTACAATCTATTCCTGAAGCTGTGACAGGCTGTAAAGATCCAAAATGATGGTTCGATAGTGGGTGTGAAACAAATGATTTTTAACCCATATATAGCATAAAATATGAATTAATAAAGAAACTGAAATAATAAAATTATAAAAACTACAAAAAGTATGCATGGTTGAATATTTGATCTCTCTGGTTGTTACACCAATAACGACACAAAGCAGTGACAGCAGTTTGGAGCATGATGAACAGTTCTACAGACAGGCAGATGATGTTGTCATAATTTTCGGTTTACTTGTTAAATAAAATTTATAATCAAGCAAACAACAAACTTTAATTCATCAGATGAGTGATATGACTTGTATAAGTTAACAGCATGATGATGACGGTGATGATGATGATGGTGATGTTTATTGACATCAAAATCGTCATTTTTTTCCAAGATCATTCCAGTACTGGTGCCAACATCACTTGCAACTTTACCGTTATCATCATCCCCACCATCGTTGTTTCCAACATTGTTGAAGATGAGTGACGTCAGAGAAGATATGGAGAGGTCATGGAGTGCAAGCAGATTGCTAAGCATTCTGCTCCAGCCCACAGAACGATTCTCATCTTCAGCAGCAGTAGCAGCAACAGCAGCACGTTGATCATCGTGTGATGTCACATTTGAATCATTAACACCACCATTGTCGTCGTCCCTTGATGAGGTCTCATAATCGTTGAACACCTCGTTACCTCCTTCACTACTTAAATTGACCTTTCCGCCAGCCAGGCCCCCCGCGACTGCATCTCCCCTTCCAAATTTGTGGCTCCCGACAAGAGATTCGTCTGTCTCAACAATGTAATCCTTGTACTCCTTGCGATAAGAGTGGGCCAGCGAGTAGCCCGGTGGTGCATTCCTCAGCACCTCAACCCTGAGCACCCCGTCCCTCGGCCAGTTTTGTTTGATGTGTTGGAGGCAGTGCTTCGGTCCTCGAGCCAGCACAACATGGATGTAACAGAGGACGAAGAAGAGGACAAGTGCCTGTCAGTGAGGTGTTTCAATGAGGATTTATTTAAATTTGTAAATGAGCCTTAGTTAACCAGGTGAATCATGGATGTCTGCAAGTGTATAAATTCAGGTAAGTTCTATTTCATTGGTGCAATAGTTAATTATATAAAATTACTGCAAAACTAAAAAATGCACAATTTTTTTATAAAAATTAGAAACCAACTATTAAAAATTAGAAAAAATAAATTTAGAGAGGTTATGCAGTATAACAAAGAAGCAAATTGTAACAAAGTATTACTAACTTTGAAAAAAATAAAAACAGAAGCATGATACCTTGAGCAGAGCAAAGATTTCGAGTGCGATCCTGAAGGAACTGGGCACGGCTCTGCAGTATGCCACAGCAATTCGATGGAACAACGCGTGGAACAACCTCTCACGAACATTAAAAAAAGGATGTTGATGTTGCTGTGGCTGCTGTTGCTGCTGAAATGTTATCGTTGGTAAATCGTTTATCATTCTAATCGTTGCAGTAGTAGTTGTGGTTGTTGTAGTAGAAGTTGAGGTTGTTGTAGTAGAAGTTGAGGTTGTTGTAGTTGTATCAGTGGCAGAAGAAGCAGTGGTATTAGAGCTAGTTGCAATGTTACTGGCAGGAATTTCAGATGATGATCTGGAGACATCAGAAGGTGGTGGGGTGTGGTCGTTTAAGTGTGGCAGGTTCATATCACCAATCAGTGAGTCACTCATCTGTTAATGACATTACATAAAAATTGGGTAAAGTGCATGAAGCCATGATGAATACACACATACACACATAAATTAAATGGAAACACATAAAATTTTATCATTTTATGTCATAAATAAAACAAATACACACACAAATAAAAAAGTAACCTAAACTAAAAAAAATCCCATTTTTAAATTTTGGCTTTTTGTAAAATTTTAAATCACAAAACAAAAAATACAAATGTCAATATGGTGTTAAATAATAAATATTTTTAACTGAATTTAAAATTTAATATTTAATTAAAAATTAAAATTTGACCATATTAATTAAAATATTTAAAATTAATATTTTTATTTTAAATTTTATTTGTTAAAGTGTATGTGTGTGTGTGTGTGTGTGCGTATGTAATTATTATGTAATTTGTTTAATTTAATTGTGATGTGTGAACGTTTCTGTCTTTCCTTTATCTTTCTCCTCATTCCATTTTTTCTCTAAACTTCTCTCTTTCATTTTTTTGTGTCTGTTGAAGTTCACTCAATCCAAGCGGCCAATCACTCAGATAAAACATTTTTTTAAAAAACCAAAAATTTGTTTGAATGAAGATTTTAAATTTCTTGAAAAACTGCAAATTAAATTAACCTCTAATTTGTTTTTTTTCTTAGTACTTCAGTAATTTGCGAAATTTTAGACGTTAAAAATTAGTATCGACAAAAACAAAGACCCCGCATCGAGAAATGATCATTTGGTTAAATAATGAAATTCCGTGGGTGATTGAACATAACGAGGTTTTAAAAAAATGGGAATGAGAATCTTTGAAATCATGGAGGTCTAAATTTTAATTCTTTATTTATGTGTATAACGTGAAATTTTTAATTGAATTTGTTCCATTGCACGACTCTTTTTACAAGTTATACGTGGAAGTCAAAGAAGCATTGGTTAAGTGGACCATAGCTCAAATCCTAAGGTACAATTCCGTTATTATACTATACGTCACACCAAAATTTCTTTTTGTAATTCTGCATTGTTTGGTTTGATTCTAGAAATAGAATATAATAAATAATATATGACCTAGTATCGTCGAAAAATGTTAGGACTGACGACATATGTGTAGCGGTTGCGTTAATGTAAGAGAACACCGAACCAGGAAGAGCAGTGAACGGGAGAAGAAAAGAATAATACTTTTTTTGATAGGCTGGACACGTGTTTCGTCCCTACCAGAGACTTATCAGCAACCCGAATACTGAGAAATGCCGCACAGACTTTCCAAAGGTTCAAGGTACCTTTCATCCGCGTATACATTGATGACATACTAATAGCCAGCGAAACTGTCAAAAAACAAAGAAGCCATGTAGAACAAATCTTTCAACAACTGCACGACAACGGACTAATCATCAACCCTTCGAAATGTGAATGGGCGAAATCATCCACAACATTTCTGGGACATCAACTCGACAGTGAAGGCATTAGACCCCTCGACAATAAAGTACAGGCAATCATGAATTTGCTGAAACAACGACTGACAAGCAACTACGCCGTTTCATCGGAATGATCAATTTCTACCGTCGATTCATTCCTAAATGCTCAACGATATTGTCACCTCTCACTGATATTTTAACCGGCAAATCAAAAATCAAAAAAAATAAAATAAAACTCAACGAGGGGCAACAACAAAGTTTTAGAGAGGCCAAGCAGGCATTACAAGCGGCAACCAAGTTATGGTATGTTCAAGAGAAAGGTACCTTTCAACTTTTCATAATTTGTAGCGGTTGCGCTTATGTAAGAGAACACCAAACCAGGAAGAGCAGTGATCGGGAGAAGAAAAGAAAAGTATTCATTTGGATAGGCTGAATAGTTATCGCAGTTTCTTATATAGCCCGCACAAATCACCTTGTTAGCCCGTGGTGTTTTTATTTATTATTGAAGATTGTTAGATTTTTAGTCGTTGGGATTTCAAACATAAATATGTCTCGTCTTGTCTTTAACCCTCGATCAGATGGTAGGTTGCATGTTGTATCATGAGCAATTTTTTCCAGTTAACTCTGTCCTGCGTCTTTTTCAGCAACTTTTTAAATCCGTCCAATCCTTTATGTCATCGTCCCATCTCCTTCTTTGCCTTCCTCTTTGTTTTGATCCGGACAGCGTTCCTTGTATTATATATATATATAAAATACAAGGGACGCTGTTAAATTAATGTTAAATTAATGTTAAATAAAAAAATAAATAAATAAATAATATATATATATATATATATATATATTTACAATATTCTATAAATTCTACCGAATGTTTGGCGTTAATATGTTTGTAGTTCGTTTTTCAATTTTCTCACTATAGGGAAATATTGACATGTTGACGTGCACAGCTGTCATATATCGGGATTACTACTACCTCACTGACTAGAAGGCTTACGATGCATAAACAGAGTGGTGCTATCAAATCTCATTTGGACTCAACACACTCAATCACAATTAGCCGTGAAATCCTCGACAGTAATACCAAAGTAATATACCAGAACAGCAACTACACGCATCTTAAAATTGCAGAAGCAGTCCTAATTGACATCAATAAACCAAAAATAAATATACAACAAAAAATGACAACCTCACTTCCAACCCGGCGCTTAACCAACAACGAAAACAAAGAAGTAAAAACTAGCATTGTAAATAGTGACAAACGCCATGCTATCGATGAAGAAAAGGAGACCAAAGAAGATGACCAGCCAATAAAGAAACCTGACACCTAATTTCTATCTAAGTTCACTTTGAAAAAGTCAATCTCCATCTAAGTTCATTTTGACAAAGTCAATATTTTCCTATATAAGCAGCAGAAAGCACTGATGATGATTCATTTGGAATCAAAATACGGCTTTATTTGCAGCATGAATTCGGTAAATAAGTTTATTTTGAATTTTAATAAACTAAACGTTCACCAAAAAACTTTAGTGAGAAAAATTGAAAAAACAAACTACAAACATATTAACGCCAAACATTCGGTAGAATTTATAGAATATTGTAAAAATTATGGTCTATTACCAACATATAAATATATCTATATATATATGTATATATATATATATGTATATATATATATATATATGTATATATATATATATGACTATATGTATGTACTGCACTATTCGATTCATATAGTGTCCGTTTATAACCTAAGTCATTTGAAAACAATACGATCTTTCCTTCAAGGACAAGAGAGCGAGCTGATGTAGGGATCCAATCGACGTAAGGATGACCTCGAATATTGCAGCATTTTATTTGCAAACTAACTAACCTGGTGTATGTATTTTGTAACACCTAAAAATAATAATAATTGTTAATAATTGTAATAATAAACAACGAAATAAAATAATTAACAAATATTTAGATTCAGTTGCCCCAATGTGTATGTGTATCAGAAATGAGCTTTTCTGAATCATAATAATTAATGTAGATATTGGCATCATCGAGAATTAAATTTTTAGCATCCAAGGCAATGAACATTGATCCCGTCTTTTTAACAAGGCTTCAAGTCTCCTTTTTTTAAAACCCAAAGCATAGCTGGTTAGAGCAGTTGCGAGCAGTAATGTTAGTGAAACTCAGTAACTCATTTTTTAAATACAAAAAATGGTTTTATGTAAGAAGTTAAGAACCATGTTTGATTAAAACGAAAATGCATAGAGCGGCAAAGCTTTGCCTGCGCCTCTGGTTTGTATAATCGATCTTACAACGTATTAAAAATTTCGTTTTATACATCCGTTGAACTGAAGGGAAATTAAAAAAACAACCTCTGAAATTATTACATCAATGAACTTTATCAGTTTATTGCAGTTGAAATATGAAAATTAATAAAAATATAAAAAAATAACTTCTTAATTGATCGACTATTTAAAAAATTATTCTCTTTTAGGTTTTTTCATAAAGTTAAAAAAATATTTTGTCTTGTTAAATAACAAACGAATTGTGTAATAGTTTATTATCGTAATTATGAAAATTATCAGTACCAAAACAAAAAAGATGTCGAACATGATGAATTGAAACCAATACAAATCCAGTGCACCAGACTTCAAATGTTCATCTCCATATATCACTACGTGGTTTATGGCGTCTGAAACTCTTTCAGCAGCTGACATTTTTCTATCTCTCAAAATAATGGATGACCTTTTAATACTTTCTTCGAATGTTTTGTTGTTTAAAACATATAATATATTATTTTTTAGTTCATCAACTTCCCAGTTCCCAAAGTCCATTTCAATTCCATATTTTTGAAATTTTACAAAAGAAGCCATTCCGATTTGATCATTGAATAATGGAAATACAATAACAGGCTTAGCATGGTAAACGCATTCCATCATACTGTTGAATCCACCGTGCATTATGATCAGTTTTATGCGAATGTCAGCTAACAAATCGTTCTGTGGTATCCAAGGTTGAATTAACAAATTTTCGTGTTGACCACCGCAAAGTGTGCGGTTTTTTGATTTGAAAATAAATTTTAAATTTTTCAGTCTCTGAAAAGTTAAGCATAATTTAATCACATTATCTTCGTTTAAATATTCTATATAACTGCCAAAAGTAACCAGGATAGCTTTTGAATTGCCTATAAAGTGATCAAGATGCAAAGGAAGTGGAACTTGTTGGGTACCTACAATAACATCTCCAGCGCTGATTGTATGAGGCATGTGTGGCCGTGGGTATCCTAATACTGAATCCTCCAAAAAAAAAATTAGGCTTGCTTTTCTATTCAAATCCCAAAAGTTTTCATTCTCAAGCGAAGTATTTTCTGGAAAAAGTTCTTTTACAAAATTTGGTCGACCAAACAACCTGATGAAATTTGTATTCAAAATATCTTCGATAAAAGTTCTAAATCTTTGCAAAAATGTCATGTGGTCAGAATGTTTTGCTCTGTGATTTGGGACAAAAGAGGGCAGTCTTGGGATCCCTATCAGCCAAGCATCCATAGGTATTGCGAATGTTGAGTATTTTATGTTCATCGATTTTGGAAGAAGTGCATAACATTCGATACCAATTATACCTAATATGGCAAAGTCGAAAAATCTTTTTTGAACCAAATCGTTGAATAATTTTTTGTTCTGAATCAATGCTCGACAGTCATCATCAGCCGATTCCATGATAAACTTGGCTGTTGATAAAGTGGATTTGACATATTGAAAAAAGTTTCTTTTTTCTGTTACTAAACTGATAAGCATTTCTGATGTCTCTTTTGTGTTGAAGACGGAAACATTTGATACAACGGGATATTTTGTAATGACGAAACTTCCATTATTGAATTCTTGCGATATTCTTGCATTGGAGGGAACTATCATTTCGACGTAGTGTCCCAACTTGGACAGACCTTGTCCCAATCTGGCGAAATAAATATGTTGAGAATTTATGTTAACCGGTAACATCAGAATACGATGGTTTGTTGTCTCCGTTATATGTAAAACTAAAATCCATAACGTACAAATCAATGCTGCATATCTGAACATTTTCATCTGTAACGAGCAATTATAAATTTTATATTCACCAATTTACGCAGTTTTATAACGTAGAATCCTTTCACTAAAACTCTTTAATATTATCAAAAGAGACAACACGATTCTGCATACTCTATTTATACCTTATTTTGAGACGTCTGTTTATCTGTTTAATGAAAATGAAATGTGAACAGAATATGACAAACCTTGTCAAAGTGCAAAATAGTTGAAATTTCAACTCACTCGGTCATTGAAGTCATGTTACAGAAATAAATTTGAAAACAGATTCGCAACAACCTTAGAGACGACTGCCTGCTTACCAACCTTTTAATTTTTATAACAGAATCACCATGTTGTTAATAATTTTGCGGCAAGTATAATAAGTAATTTTTTCATTAAAATTTCAAGTCTATTGACTTGTGCACTATAAAAAGCAAAAATCAAAAAATCTTTTAATAGATGTACCTATTTAATTATTTATATTTGATTGCATGATGATGATGATGATGATGACTCAGTGTGAGGTGTTTTAAATTAACTTAAATAATTTTGAATAAAACCGTTTTCAGCAATTTATTTTTTTTAATTTCAAAAAATAACAATATATTAAAACCTCTAGAATAACGAAGAAAATATTATCAAAAATAAAACTAGTAACAAAATTTAGTCTTTTTTATGTTTTTGAAAGAAACTAAACTTCATTAAGAATTTAAAAACATTTTTAACTTGATAATATACAAAACGTAATGTACAAAAACATATAACCGAGAAAATAAGAAGTATTAGTACCAAAACAAAAAAGATGTCGAACATGATAAATTGAAACCAATACAAATCCGATGCACCAGACTTCAAATGTTCATCTCCATATTTCATCACGTGGTTTATGGCGTCTGAAACTCTTTCAGCAGCTGACGTTTTTCTATCTCTCAGTATATCGGATGACCTTTTAATACTTTCTTTGAATGTTTTGTTGTTCAAAACACGAATTATGTTGTTTGTAAGTTCATCAACTTCCCAGTTACCAAAGTCCATTTCAACTCCGTAATTATGTCTTTCAGCGTATGAAGCCAAACCAGTTTGATCATGTACAAATGGGAATACAATGACGGGTTTGGCATGATAAACACTTTCCATCATGCTGTTGAACCCACCGTGCGTTACAAACAATTTTATGCGACTGTCAGCTAACAAATCGTTTTGGGGGATCCATGGCTGAATTAACAAATTTTTGGAGTGATCGCCACAAAGTGTTTTGTTTTTTGACTTGAAAATTATTTTAAAACTGTTTAATTTCTTAAAAGCAGAACACAGTTTATTCACAATATCATCGTTTAAATATTCTATATAACTTCCAAATGAAACCAAAATAGTATCTGATTTTCCAATAAATTGATCAAGATTTAAAGGAAGTGAAAAATTTTGATAACCAACCACAACATCCCCAACGCTGATTGTGTGAGGCATGTTTGGGCGCGGATATCCAAGTGTGATATCTTCCAAATAAAGAAGCAAACTGGCTTTTTGGAGTACATCGATGAAATTAATATTTCTATATTTTGACTTTTGTGTGAAAAACTCTTTTGCAAAATCTGGTCTTTTGAATAATCTGAAAATTAATGTGTTAACAACATCTGCCAAAAAAGTATGAAACCTTTGCAAAAATGTCATGCGGTCTGAATGTTTTGCTCGGTGCGTTGGAACGAATGAAGGAAGTCTCGGAACTCCAGTGAACCAGCACTCGTAAGGTAATGAGAACAGTGCATATTTACTTCCCATCATTTGCGGCAGAAGTATATAACATTCAGTACTCATAATATCCATTATGACAAAGTCAAAACGTTTATCGTGCACGAGATCCTTGCTCAGCATCAAAGCTCTGCAGTCATCATCTGTGATTCTCACCAACAGTTCTAGCGTTGAAACAACGGCACTTAAGAATTGAAAAGTGTTTAGCCTGTTTACAGCCAAACTTACAAACATTTCTGAAACTCTCCTGCCGTTAAACCCGGATACATTTGAATGAACAGGATATTTCGTAACTACAAAACTTCCATTACCAAATTCTTCAGATATTTTTGCGCTGGATGGCACCCACATTTCCACGTAATGACCGCGGTTGGACAGACCCTGTCCGAGCCTGGAAAAATAAATCAGATGAGAATTCATATTTATTGGCAGCAGCAATATACGATGCTGAGATGACTGAGTTGCGAGTTGAAACACGACAAAAACTGTAGATATTGCTTTAATATAATTTAAAGACATTGTCACATAAGATTGTGAACATAAAATTTTATCAAATTTTGAACACGAGCAGCTGATTTTTTACTCAATAAAAGTTTTAAAATTGACAACAACTTAATGATTTTGTTTTCTTGTTTTTATACATCAACTTAAGGTGTCTGCATATTGCAATTATAATCCTGCAAAAAAGATGGGCGTTCTGAGTTTTCAAAGTCCAAAATGTCTAAATATTTAAAAAAATTTTTTTTGTCTCTAGACAACTTTTAAGAAGTAGACAGACACAAGAGCAAAATTTGCCATTGCACACATATAAGTGTGTTTTTTATGTATATATTCACATAAATGTACAATGTACGTCTTTAAACAGTAAATTTTTTAAATATAACAATTTTCAAAAAATATACTTTTGTATTCTTACTTAAAACATGAATATTATATTGCACGATCTGATTTGAATAGGCTTAAATTTAATTTTTTTACTGTCACTTAACGTCAATGAAACATTCGAGCTCATCATACAACATTACTTCCAGAGCATCCATCAATCATTCCCACAAATCAACTGAAAATATTAGGCACCACATTCATATCCGCACTACACATAGCGCCTCATATAAACCACATTATCAAAAATGTTTTCAAACATTTCACGCATTCACAACACTTTACTCCCATGGTCTTAAAGGCATCGAAGTAATCAACATCACTGAGTCACTCATCTTCTCACACATCAAATACGTAGCTCCCTCCTGGCCTGGCTTCACTACACAACAGCAATTTCAACAACTACAGTTTCTTGGGAAAAAATTAATTCGCCTCAACTACCTATCTTCATTAATCCAACCGTCACTCAAATATTCAACACACTCGATTCAAGATTTTTTTTTAAAAAAGAGAAACCAATATCAATTACGTCATTCCCCCTTTACTAGCATTAATCAAAACTTTTACGCATAATCTTTGACAACGCAAACATAATTATCAAATTATCACTCGATCATCTTATCAAGAAAAAGCTTTCATCCTAAGAGACTTAAAACATATTAAGACACTAATCTTTCTCTATTCATCCGGAAGGAAGGATTAGAAAGATTGCAGGGAAAAGAGATCGCCGCCAACAACGAATAACATTCGTGAAGTCCTTGTGTCACTTGCTGAATATCACCACGTTTTAACCGCTGCAAAGTGTTAAAGATCGGGTTTTGTGGAGGTCGATGGTCGCCAATGCGCTGAAAGGATGAGGCACGAGAAAGAAAAAAAAAGATGCTATTAAAAAGAATTTTTTATTAGAAAGCAATCTTTACTATAATATTTATTCCTTTTAGCCTTGCGTAAAAATTCTTGAAAAAAATTTATCGATTTACCGATTGGACCAGTAACTGACTGTTATTTCATTGAATGAATTTTAATATTATTAACATTTATTCCATTTAGTCATGAATTTGAAACAAAAAAAAAAGTATGAAAAGAATAAAATAATACAAACTAAAAGGTCATAAAACTGTAAATGAAATGAAAGATTTATCATTAATATCACTATAGCTAAAACAGTCAATAACATAACATCAGAGCAAGGTTTAAACAGGTTAAAGGTCATTCTATCTTGTGTACTTGCTTCAGAGGTATCAACGTCAAACACACACAACGCATATGTTAGGAGGGGATCTTTTTGCATTCGAATCCAGTTACTGCAGCATCAGACCAGGTGCCTTTAATCATTGAGCTATCACGCCATCATTAACACGAACAACTTGTTTCATTTTATTGAAATTTTTAATTTTCACTTTTTTTCACAATTTTCATTGAATACATTTTTTAATAATGAAAACTGATCTAGTTACAGTTTTGCTAGCCATCACCATCTTGCTAGGTAGTATAACTTATTAATTGGCAAATTGATTTACTTCTATTTGTTAAAAGTTAGAGAACACTCTTTGATCAATGGGTTTGTCATTTTACAAAAATACCCATTACCCAACTACTGCGATTAAACATTTGTAATAAAAAAGTTAATTTTTACATAATTTTTAACTATTACATCTACCACGTCTCAACTAATAAATTGTGTTTATTTTTTTTATTGTGTTTACTGCGTTAACTATATTTAAAACTAAAGTAACTACAAATTTCTGCAAAACTCCTATTCAATGTGAGAATAAAACATGCTACTCGGCATGAAGGTTCATTCACTTTAACAATTTTTTTGCACAAATTTATTTATAATTTTGGTTTCATATACACGTAAACTGTACAAAATATTATATATATATATATATATATATATATATATATATATTTAACAGATTGTGTTTGTCAAAGTCTAAATAGCACAAAATGTAAACAAGAAAGAAGATGAGAATAAAGAAATGGCTGCATCTAAATTTTGATTTGTTCTAAAAATTAATGTAAATGTTTTCAAAAATCACATATGAATGATTTTTAATTTTAAAAATACAAATTCATCTGTTACAAATATAGCTTATTTTCGAAATTTTAAAGTTTAAAATGTATGCATTCATTTTTGTTTTGTCCTTCACGGACACGATGAAAATTTAAGAAGTGCCGTTAGTTTTAAGGCACAGTGGAACAGTAACATTCTACTGAAAGAAATTTGAAAAATAGAAGAAAAATAGATTGGGCATTTGAATTTGGATTTTTAAAAAGTTTTTATATGAAACAACATTCCGGAAGATATTTCTATTGATATTAAACGGTTGTTTTAATTATGCAAGTTGGATTTTATGAAATTAAAATTTTCTAAATTTTACATACCGATTTTAGTTCTTATTATTTTTAAAGTCTTCTCTTTTCTACACTTGAGATATATTTCAAAAAGATATTCTAAACTTATTGTATTATAAAAAGTATATATGCGATCAAATATTATTCCGACTTGAGTGCTTTCTCAGGAGAAAATAAAGATTTACATTTAAAATATAATTAATTTTCTCATAAACAATAAATTTTTCTGGTATTAGTAATATAAGAAAAACGCAAATAAAACTTATCACTTTTTATGTTGGTGTGAAGAGTTGTTAAGTTGAGGAATGTTCAGAATAAGACATTCATGGAGAAACTACATTTTTTCAGTTGATAAATATGTTTAGCGACAAGCAATCAATTACGGAATGATTCGAAAGCCGAATTACCAGTTTCTATCGTCATAATCTGATATTGCACCTTTTTTGTGATTGATATTTGTAAGCATAAATTTGTAAAGACGTTGGGGCTAATTTTCAACATATAGGTAGGTTATTTATCCATTCATTTGATGGATTAGTGTACGGTTAACAAATTTTAAAATATGATTTTAACTCTCCAAAATTGTTGTTCTAACTTCTTCTTAGGTCTATTTACTATTCCAAAGACGTTAATTTTCATCATAATTATTCAATTATATTTTAATTAATATAACGGACACACGTATGTTTGCATGCAATATATTCTATTCGAAGAGTAAAGAATTATATAAGTCTAGTTGTTTCAGTTGTTTTGCATTTGAAGGCATGTCAATAATAATTTTAAATCATTAAAAAATATTAAGCTTGTTTATATTGTAATAAATTTAACAAGAATCATAAACTGATAGTTTATTTTTAACTAAAAAATGAATTAACTGAAGGAACTCCAACAACTTCTCAATGCATACGCCTGTCTCCAAGATCGTATCGTTAACAATTTGTTGTTTGTTTGCAACCATATCATACGCCAACTCTCTTCATGAGCCTAGAAGTGTCAGAAACGCAACCAAATGTGTGATGAGTGGGAATGAAACATGCTGGAAAGATTTTAGACTGCCGAAGGACTTGGTGCCTCAATCTTATGAGATTCTTATTCATCCTGACTTTGAACGATTTGATTTTCGTGGCTGGTCGTGTGTGGAGGTGGTTGTCAAAACCAGCGTCGACTACATTGTCATGCATACCAAAGATCTCAATATCACCATAAATGATATACGCTATACAATTTATTCAGGTTAGTTAATTTGTTTCAGAAAAATATTTTTTAAAAGCAATGTTTTTACCAAACCTACCGTCATAATTTTTCTTATAAAAATAATTTCTCAAAAGTCAGCAAATTCAAATTGTATAAACAGAAAAGATAGAAATTGAAAAACACGTGATTGTTGAGGAACGGGAGCAACTGTTCATTAAACTGTCCTCTCATCTCCTGAAAAATTCCCACATCCTCATCAACATATCCTTCCATGGGATACTCAAAAATAACGGGGAAGGTTTTTTTCTAAACTTTTACAAGACCAAAAATAAAACATTCAGGTTATTTTGAGTTTAAATTTAAATTTTTAATCTTTGTGCAAAAATAAAAACTAAAACTCAATGGCACAATGCTGCAATACTTTAAAACACAGCATATCAGATAGTCTCTACAGAATATTTATTTTATACATAAAGATAGGAGGCATGACTGGCCAGTACTAGTAAGTAACGTACACCGTCTCTAAACACGACTAAAGGTCCATCATTGTGGACACCCAACTCGTTATAGGCTAGTAGCGTTTGTCCCTTCTGGGACTCATCAGTAGCCCGAGTTAAAACGCCAACGTAGCTCATTTATGATATCAGTAGATAATATTACAAAATACAGTTCACAGTTTTTAACTCACTTTAAACATATATAAATAAATAAATATATAATTATTATAATATATTATATAGATTATAATTTAATAATATAATATATTATTATAATATAAACTATTATTATAATATATTTAATAAAGCTGTTGTTATCCGAATTCATCATGCATACAAGGCATTATTTCGATTTTTCATGAATAATCTTCAGTGCAGGTTCAGTTTATATAGTTTCTTTAAACAAAGCAAAGTTCTTTAGCAAAGTTTATTAGTTGGTGTCGTATTCTTCATCTTTGTTGCTGTCGTTACTTTGTTCTTCATTTTTATTGAGGTTTGTATTAAGGTTTCGAGTTGGTAATGATGTTATCATTCTTTGTTGGATATTTATTTGGGGTTTATTGATATATATTAAGACAGCTTCTGCAATATTTGGATGTATTTTGTTGGTGTCTTTATAAATTATTTTTGTGTGGCTGTCAAGAATTTTGCGGATTATTGGAGTTGCGTGTGTTGTCAATTTTGTTGTCGTAGTCACTTTTGTCTAAGACCCCAGATTGATTTGACTTGTCTGCACGGCGAATGACAATTTCATCAATTTCTTTCAATTCTTTTGCGGCAATTCTTAGACCTTCTGTTAGAAGTTTACTCTGAAAATTGCCTCTTTGCTTTTTGGCTTGTCTAGGATTTCTCTTTTAGTTTCAATATTATGTGTGTGTTCCATGTGTGTCAGTCAGAGCCCATTTCGGTCGATCCACTAATCCAATAAATTTATTTTTTCTAATTTCTAAAAATTCAACAGCGCTCAACCTACAATTCATAATTTCGTTAACATAAAACCAAAAAATTTTATTAAATTTTTATATTTTTATATAAATCTTAACGTAATTGACTATTAAAAACCTAGATATTTAGCTGCAACGCAAATGCAAGCAACTTACGCCAGAACTGTCTTTCCCTGCTTTGACGAGCCACAGATGAAAGCAGAGTTCAAGATGAGCATCATCAGACCAAAGCATTACATTTCATTGTTCAACACTGAAAAAGTTTGTTGTGTTATGTTTGTTTGTTTACATTGGTGAAGTGAGTTAGATGCACTCGGTTTCTCGTAGCACGCACAACTCATAAATCATGCCATACGATGGTTGATGCGATAGAGTGCACTTTGTTGAAAGGTGTGCAATCAATTATTTAAATCTAAAGTGGTGCAATTGTTATCTGAATAATGATTTAAAAATAACTCCTTTTCGGTATAAAAATATTCTAGACAAAACGGATATACAAACTTATTTTATTTCTTAATTATTTTCAATAGTTTTTTCTCGTTACTGCTATTATGGTGCAAGAACAACTCTTATATATAATTTTTCGTTTGATAATATTTTATTTTTAATAATTCTACGTTTGATAATATTTTATTTACTTGCAAATTGTCGGATAAAATATATTTAATAGATATGCGAAAAAGAAGTTTCCTCGATCGAAACGATGGACATCTACCACAGCTCTCCGAAGATGAGCACCTACCTGGTGGCAGTTGTCGTGTCAGACTATTCGTCGAAAGCTCATCTCACTAAGAGCGGGACTGCTGTTGGTTTCATTCAATTTGCTTCATTTCCATTTTTTTATTTAAACGTTGTAATCATGAAACACGACACATTATGGATTTAAATTTACACGAACTGTACACGCATCTATAAACTAAGTGGCATAGGTGCAAAATGATTGGAAATGCCTGCGCGGTCAAATTAACTCATTTACAGTCGCTGTATGAACTTATTTTGAGGAAAATTTTTATTGAAATTGCTAGTCTTGTTTAGTTTTTAAAACATACAAAAATTATTGGTATCGTTAAAACTACAGGAAATTCTCCACGGGTCAAGTGTCGGAATGGTGCTCAACTTTGAATATTGTACATTTAATGTTTGTTCAAATTATTACACGGCATGCATCCAAAAATTTACAATTGTTTCTTTCGTTTGTTACTGTTGCTATGTTGGGAAACATTCCAAGATGAACATATAAAATTTGATTGGATCAGTAAAATTATCTAAAGCTTCAGTGGACAAAAGTTTGATGTCAACCCAACAACCGAATTCGAGTTTATTTTGTGGTATTTTCTACTCAGTTCAATAACAAAAACAATAACCCGAAAAATTTATCCATTCATTTTGTCGACAACGTCGATGTTTCTATTGGAAACCAAAGCACTCCCATCATCACCACCACAACTACCAACATCAAAATCAACAATTTTAATTATTATTACCATCTTAACTGCCACTGACCACCACCACCTCCACCAAACCCGTCAATACACACCTCACACCCGCCAACATTACTGCAATCTATATTGCCATTGCAATATAACTGTATATTTTATAATTTGTGATTTAACGGTTTCCTTGCCTCAATGAAATTTTTTTTCAAATAAATTTTATTTTATTCAAATATTCATGATCACATTATTATAGTTAAACTGTATTATAATATAATTTTTTACTACTAATTAAAATGATGACGTTCTGCTTATTTAAGGTTGCAATATATGCCCCACCTGATTCTATCGACGATGTCGACTTCGCCCTTGACTGTGCAGTGAAGCTTCTTGACTACTACGAAGTCTATTTTGGAATCAAGTATCCTCTCCCCAAACTTGGTTGGTTAACATTTTGATTATTAGCAAAATAAAAAGAGGCGCACACAAGCAAAATGCTCACATGTGTTAAGAATTTAATAAGAATTTAAGAAACAAACGCGCAATTTTTGGCCTCTGTCAAAATAAATCATGAAGAAGTATAAAATTTGTTCTTCCGCCTTATGAAGAAATACGTTAAAAAATTCAATAAAATAATTAGTATAATTAAAAATTTCAAAAATTCCCTCAACATTTGTTGAAACCATCATTTATCTCCACAAACGCAATTCCAAACGTGTTCATTAACCATAACAAACGTTTAAAATTGTCAAAACTAAGTTTTTCAAACTTTATTTTATTTCCTAATTTCTTTTTAAGCAAACAAGTGAAATCACTGTTGTGCGTTGTCTACTTGTAGTCTCATTTTTTATTTAGACTGAGATGGATGTATCAACATTTACAGAAATTGCTTATTCATGTTTCGTAAATTATAGGCCTTAATTAAAGTTTAAAAGTTTAATATGCATGTGAAAAACAAAAAAACCAAATTTATTTTATTTCTTATTAGAAAAAACTAATTGCAAGAATATTGAAGCGAAATTAAAAGCTGAAATAAAATCACTCTAAATGTGAAAATTAGGTTTATGAAATGTTGACATCTTAAAATTGGAGATGAGCTGTAAACCAAAATGTAAAATCACGCCGAGTTATATGCTGCTATTCATGTTCCTGTTAAATTTTAGTCAATTATCTACTTAATTTTAGTCAATTATCTACTTAAATAATTTACAGACATTGCAGTCATAAATGAACTGTCTATTGGTGCAATGGAAAACTGGGGTTTAGTGTTATTTATACCAAATTTTCTGTTTTATAACGCTGATGACAACACGGAGACTGATAAGACCATGGTGGCAATTGTGTTGGCTCACGAGTTGGCTCATCAGGTTTGCTATCGGGAAGGTTTAAATTTTCAACTATTTTGCAATGTTTTAGTAATAATATAAAGACGTTTTTTTCATGAATCCATGTGTGCTGAAGCAGATGTTTTTGCAGTACTGAACTGAAATAAAAGACAATTATGTCTTTTTAACTTTTGATTTTAAAGTATAAGTAATGTGATAATGTTCTGAATATCCTAAATCAAGTGAAAGCATGCGACTCTAAAAATATGCGAAGCCGCAACGTATGATTGTTTTTTATTGTCTAAATGGAACGATTTGGGTGAAGTCGAGTTGGTGAGCGCACTTGTCGAGCATTTAACATTTCAAAATTTTAAATTATAGTAAAATCATTTGAAGTCAGGAGGCTAAATTTACGGGCTCTAATAAAAATCAGAGTTCAATGAATTTGTCAGCATTTGCAGATTCATTGACGGCGGAGATTAAAAGATGAATTTATTATAAATTTGCTTTTTTGTTTTTTCAGTTTAGGAAAAAATTGAAAACGCTTCATTTTGAAATCCATAGCAACTAAAACTATAAAAAAGAACAAAAACATTTTTAGCTAAACAGATTTAGGTTAAAATGGTAAAAAACAGCTGCTTTTCATATTTGGGCTAGTAAACGTTTACTCTGAAAATTTTTTTTAGTGCATGTATACATCTTCAGATTTTAAAAAAATTATAAAATTTTTGTTAAAATTATTGAAAACTTTTCATATAATTTATTGTCAATGTCCCGAGTGATTGAAATTCTTGCTCAGTATATTATTACGGTGCACCAAAAAAATTATTTTTTTTGCGGACACATAAAAGTGTTGCCTTACAATTTTTTCACATTAGTTTATATCACAGCAACAAGTTTTTTCATAGTGGTTTGGCAACCTGGTAACCATGGAGTGGTGGGATGACTTGTGGTTGAATGAAGGGTTCGCCACATACGTACAATATATTGGAGCCAAGCACATTTTTCCGGACCGACCTTTAGTAAGTTTATCTCAAATTTGTTCGATGACAATTTTTTCAAAAATATATTCAATTTCATGCCTCACGTGCCAATCCAAAATGTTGTTGTTATTTATGAGATAATTAAATAGTTACTAAGTAAATTTTGTTGTCAGATATTTATTTATTTTTAATTTAAAAAATTATTTTGTAAAATATTCACAAAATCACTCATTCAGACTTGAACTGATTTCTTTGTTGTAGGAAGAGAATTTTTCATCGGAGACAATGGTGCCTGCCATGATATCAGATTCGTCAGACACTTCGCATGCCATTTCAATTTCCGTTGAAGACCCCAAAAAAATTTCTGAAATATTTGATGCCATATCATATGATAAAGTTTGTGAAAATTATTTTGTTTGTAATTTTGTTTTAAGTTTTAAAACAGATTTGATCATGTTTTGGTTGATTTGTTGAAAATGTTAAATTTAAATGATAATCATTAGCAACACACTACGTTGTCCAAGAAAAGTTAAATAGCAAAAATTTTTAGCAAACTCGAATATAGCAATGACATTGATATTCAAAAAAAACATCTAAGCGAATCATTATAAGTTGAAAATTTTTAAAATTCAACACGAATTGAATACATTTCTTAAGAGCTATATAAAATTTGACGCACTCCACTTGACAACTTCTCGATCATTGAATACTAATTGATACGAGCCAGGGTGCCTCAATCATTAAAATGCTGGAAAGTGTGATCGGACCTGAAAAGTTCAAAAAAGCAATAAAGAACTATTTAACCTCACACAAGTTCAAGAATGCAAAAAGTAGTGATTTGTGGGAATCGTTCTCTAAAGAGGTTTTTTTTATCATTGATAACTTTTTTGATTATTTCATTAGGTTTGCTTATTTGCTTACCATCTCTTCTCAATAGTATCGTAGCTTGAAAGTGAAAGAAATGATGGACACGTGGACTCTGCAGATGGGGTTCCCAGTGGTCACAATACGCAGGAATGGTCGGGAGTTGTCACTCCACCAAGAGAGATACCTTGTCATTGACCACTCGAAGATCAGCAATTTTACAGTAGAACCTGCGAAATTTAAGTTGGTGGCTACGCGAAATGTAATATTTCAAAAAAATTTTTAGTGAAATATTAAATTGCGGACTTTTCATTTATCTTTTATGTTTTTTCTGATTTTTCTTTTATTCTAAATGAATTTTTTTCTCAGTTTTGTTTTGATATCTTTTCCATTTTTATTTTTATTTATTTAATTTGACTGCCCGTTACCACAAATTTGTTTCATTTTGGGAGTAGTTTAGTTATCGAAAAATATAATGAAATATAAATTAAATTTAAAGAAAAGTTAAACATTATTTTATTGATTATGTTTTTCCAGTAAATGAAAAATATAATTATTAAATTAACGTCCACACACACTTCGTCCAACAGTTACACGTGGAATATCCCACTTACATACTTCACCAATAGAAATTTGACGCATCATTCCTTTTACCAATTCAAACAAAAATCAGGTAAGCTTTAAGGTAAAGAAATAGATGATGATGATGATGACGATGATCAGGTGATGATGTTGATTTTATGATGATAAATAAATGTATCGTGACTTTGACAAACTTTGTTTTAGTTCACTTTTTTGAATTAATAGAAATTTATTTTTTTTTAGCTAAAGTCCCTACACTTCTGCCGCAGAATGTTACTTGGCTGAAAGCAAATTCGAAAATGTCAGGTACTGATATTTCTAGTGTAACGGTTTTATCAGCAATTTTTGACGTGTTTATATTCCAAGTATATGTTTCATAAAAACATTCTAAGATATAAAAATTAAAGAGCAAAATGATACAAAAAAATAATTTAATTTTCATTAGAATTTAACTAATTTCTCAATCAGTGTAAATTTAGACAATTAACGTAAATTTAATAAGAGTTTGACTCGGAAAAAGTTAATGCTTCCAGATTTTCGTAGTTTAAAATTATACAAATCCATTTATAAGCTTTTTCAACATTTGATAACGAAAAATACGTTTGAAAGAAATATTTGACATGTCCCGCAAGGTTTCTACCGGGTGAACTACGACGACAATGGCTGGCGTGACCTCATCAAGCAACTCAAGTTGAACCATTCGGTATTTTTAGCTTTTTAAGTTCTTTAAGCTTTTCAACAAAGATAAAAGCAATAAAATTAATTAAAATACTGGTTTTTATTAAAATCAGAGTCTGGTTGACTAAACATTTGTTATCAGAAGAGAATTTTATTTTTCACTACAACCCATTCTGGTATATTGTTTACAAATTTGCAGATAGTTATGAAATATCTTAGTGCAGAAGAATGTTTCACCAGTTGGTTTTAAAATAATTAAATTTTTCTTTGAAAGTAAGAGAGGAATTATTACGATTTTGTTAGGTTTTCACACCTATAGACAGAGGAAACTTACTGAGTGATGCATTCTTTCTAGTCAGGTTTCTGTTGCAGCAGTGATATTTTTATCTCTCATTGTCATTTAGTATAAAAAATTGCGTTGAATTATCTTTTAATGCATTCTTCATCGTTAAATAATTTTGCATCTAAAATTATCACAATTATTATAAATTGATACCAAACGTTTTTAAAAAAGTAATTTTTATCATGCAAGAAATACATTAACTTTTCGGGACGATCTTGTAACCATAAATCATGTGATACAGGTCGGGCCACGTAAAACTGGAGGTGGCTCTTGAACTTTCTCTGTACATGGAGAAAGAAGAAAGTAACAACCCATGGTCGATGATGCTAAACAGCGTCAGACCGATCTACAACCTCCTCTCATCCAACTTTCATTACAGCAAATTTAAGGTAAGGCCTGTTTCGCTGATGAAGAACCAACATTTTTTTCATTGAAACTACTATTGATGTCAAATTTTATAAAATTTTTGTTACAAATACTCAAAATTTTAATTACAAAGAGGTATATGCAAAAAATAATGACGCCTAGGCTGAAGAAACTTGGTTTCAACAACGATGGAAATGGCAATTTGAAGTGAGCAAATTGATAATTAACTAAATCAATAACAAAAAAAGTAATAGTTAACGCTATTTTGACATTTTTCGACGACTGAAGATGATCAGTTGCAATTTCATTTCAAGTTATTCCATTTCGTTTTAACCATCATTTTGGTGTTTCGCAAAAGAAGTTACTGAAATGATTTCCATTTGAATGATTTTTATTCAAAAATTACTTTAAAGTTTTTTTGAAATAATTATCATTATTCACTGTAGAGCCACAAAGATTGGAATGATGACCTTTGCACTTGAACTTGGGTTCCAGGAGTACGTGGATTGGGCCAAGAACTCATTCAAGAAGATCGTCAATGGAACGAAGTTAGCGCAGTATTTATTACATAGCATTGATGACGAAAACAATATATTTATCCCGAAATTGACGCTGCTCATATTAGCTATCCCGAATTTTGTTGTTCAATTTTATTATTTTGTGATCAAATCTTGTGGAAATTATCTTTTATTGGAGAAAGTAAAGAATACAATTACTACGCTGATAATGACGTTTTTCTCATTAATTTCGATAAATTTTGTTGTATATGTATAATTCTTTCTTCTTTTTAGAATGTATGTTTTGCTATTGCATAGTTTGATAAACTCTATTTTAATCAGTCTGAAATGAAAGTAGAGAGTAAATACTAAAAACGAATGGAATCTGAAAATACAAATTCAAAAGCGGGTGGTGTTTAGGATGTCAATGTTAGCGTTCTGATGTCGATCGGCTACAGTACCAGATCATTCGAATGCGGTTTGTAGAGGGTCGGTGAGATGTAAAAAATATCTTGCTTCAAATGAGCTGCGAATGGTATAGTGGAGGGTTTCCTCGATAATTGCTAAAGAGTGAATACTAATAATAGTAATAATACAAAAAAGTTAAAAAGTTGACGATAAAAACTAATTAAAGTTGAGTTAATGAAACAATCTGATAGTTTTATAACAATTTCACAATAATAATATTGCCATTATTTCAGTTTGATTTTAGTTTAAAATTTCTAACACCAATTCCATTTACATTCGCTGAACAAACCATGAATCAGACTAACACCCGACCAAGAGTCCATGGTATACAAGTTTGCCGTGAGATATGGCGGTGACGAGGAATGGAACTATATCATGGATTTGGCCTTGCACCCCAACACGTCGATATTCCAGAAAAATAGTTTGCTGGAAGCGCTTGCCTACACTAACGATGACCTGAAATTTAGAAAGTTCGTAAATAATTGTCGTTAGTCAACGCTGTGACAATTCCTTCGTTGTTGTCTCAAAAAAGTTTTGTAGAGCTTTATGGTTACTACATGGTTACTACAATTTTTTAGACATGTTACATGTGCATTTTTGTGAAGGTTTACGATTACATACGTATGTAAAATGATTTTTATTAATATTTATGTATAATGATTTGTATTATTCAACCGAGGAACATCCGGCAATAAGCAGAGTTGATAGTAAGAGTAGCAAACATCTGACAAGCCAATGTCTAACTAATCAAAAAAACGTTTGGTTAAGAAATTTAAATAGCATTTCAGTAACAAATTGAAAAGTTTAGCCAAATTTTTTAAACACGTGCTTGTCGCATCAGGTAAATCATTCATACATGTTCACTAAACAAGAGTGATGCAAAGGTTGTTTTAGTTGGATTTGGGTTGGGTTATGAGACGCCACGTTATTAGTTTTTGCATTTGTCAGTTGGGAGGCATTGCTTATATAAAAATGCATGTTTAGCAACTTTGTAAACGACTTCGTTGAATGATCTTTTGTCAAGTGAATGCCCAGTTTTTGCGGACAAGTTGCTTTGCTGAATTTTTTTTTATGCTTCCTAATCTATATTGAGAATAGCAATGACCATGGGCTTTGGTTAAAATTATACTTTTTAATTCAACTTTTGTTTAGTAAAAATAAATGATCAAAGTTAAATAAGTTATTTATGAAAATGCAAAAATATTAAAGTATTTAAAGTGAGTTTATGACACTTTTTTTTAAATTTGAAAAGTTTGTCGAGGTTTAATTAATATTTTGAACTTTAATTCTAAAATTGGATGTAAAATTTAATTTAAACAAAATTTTTAGCTTAAACTTCGTGTTATTCAATTAAAAAAGCTTTTTTGGCTCATATGACAGAACACAATCAGAACGTAATTATAACTTTTTGTTAAATTGCCGACCAGTATAAGTTTACAGAAACTATTTACCCTACAAAAATTGGATTAAATCTTACAGAAGCTGCAATTTTCTTCTCTCGTAAATATACGAAATTATTTGAATAATTCAGATTGATGGAGTTGCCTTTAAACGAAACGGCGGTGGAGCCAGAAGGATATGCAAGCATTCTTTATGCTATCAGATTTAATCCAGCTCATGGTGAGACTCAATGGAGTTTCCTGAGAGCAAACTGGAATAAGACATCTGAAATGTAAATATCTATGAATAACAAAATCTGATTTTGTATATTGATATGTTTCTACAAAAAGTCTATTATATGAATGGTTATTTTAGCTAATATGTTTTATCTTCAAAGCATGCTATTTGGTTGCTTTATGAAGGTAATGAAGTTATTAATGAAAGTAAATGGTTGAATAGAGATTTTGAATTGTACACGATGAACAAACTCAAATGCATTCAATCAGTTTCAAGCATTCATCTACGAAGCTTAGGGAATTGTTATCTGAATTAACAGCACAACTTTCAACGGAAACACAGTATGAACAAGTGAGTCGAACCTCCGTTTGTGAAAAAAAACCGAAATTGTGCTGAATAATCGTAAAATCATTAGCAATAAAGTTATCCAATTGTAAAAAAAATGTTATTTATATTTCAAAATAAATATTCACTCTAAAACATTATCATAAATAAATTTTTCAAGTTTTTGATTTGAATATTTTTTGACTTTATATTTTTGACTTTTCTGATTTTGTTTGGCAGACTTGAAATAATAATAATAATAATATACCTTTATATATAATATATGTACGTATACAACAAACGTGTGCGTTTCAGTTGAAGACCTTCCTGATGACGAACAGGGCAAACGACAGTGAACGGCTGAACTATGAACTCTTGGACAAAGTTCGCATGAACATTGATTGGAAGAAGAAATTTGAAGGAGAACTTGTTCAATGGCTGGAAAAGCACTTTTATTCTTCAGCCGATTGTGACACTTCAGATGGATTAAAAGTCAGCACCAACATTTGAAAGACAACATATATTATATTGATATTATCTTGCTTGTTGAAAGCACATTAAAGATAAAGATAAAGATATTATTATAAATGTATTTTTGTAGATTAATTTATAATAGGAATGAATTTATAATGACTACTTTCCTAATTTATAACTTATTTTTGAAATGATATATAATAATATGTATAATTGGACCAAAACAAATATTTAAAATATTTTGATAAATATTTTTCAATTTTACAGTTCATTGTTTATGCTGAAATTATTGAAAAAAAATTAATGAAAATATTTGTGTTGTTGAACTTTTTTTTATTTTGGAATGATGGTTTCATTTCAAAATTGTTCAGTTTGTACAAATTCATTGGATAACGGTGAACCTGAGGCCGAATCAAAATGTTTAGTGATTTTATGAGGAGAAGGTGGAAAAATGACTATTTCAAGTCCGTTTGAATATTTGTTATCTTATTCAACGAAAATTGCAAAAATAGTTTTTCAACCTTTATTTGATTTGTAAAAATTTGATAATAGTTCTATAGCTATATGAATGTGTTTTAGCTCTCAGATAGAAAATTATGTAAGATGAACATAGAAAGAACATTTCTTCTCAGCTCCCCAGCGTTTCGACTCCGTGCCTCTGCAACTGTTGCAGAGCAAGAACAGCAACGGCAACATGCGACCAGGATCAAGTGTACGTGCACCATTTTATTTGTTCTTACATAAATTAAAATGTATAAGCGATCTTTTTGGCAGTAAATTAAAGTAAGACTTTTAAACACATTTTGTTTAATTTGATCGAAACTATAATATTGTTTACGTTCATTTTTCAAGTTTTTAACATTTTTTTAAATAATAAATTTTGACGTTTTCTAAACCGTGAATCAAATTTTCAAGCCATTTTATATAAAAAATTATAGGCCGATGTTTATAAGTCATTGGGTCACTTTTGGATCATTGTGATCAGATGCGGGCATGGGAATTTCAATGGTTTGCGTCGGAATTCCTATGGGAATGGAAATAATTTTTATTCCTGTGAAAAAGATTACAGGAAAACGGGAGGAAGTCAGTGGGTGGTGGAAACGATGGCCTACGGGAATGGGATTTTTTCTCACAAAATTGTATCAATTTTTAAAACTTTAATTTTCATGTCTACAGATCTTTTCACATCTACACTTATCCAGTCTTTTGAAGCTTTGCAATTCAACAAAGCATCTTGACTGATAAAATTGTCTTCATTTAGGCAGAATCGTTTGAAATTCGGTAGACAACTTCTTGCCGATGATGATAGTTATCGATTGATTTTTAAAGCCGGTAAAGTTGAGCAAATGTTTTTTTTTAATTTGGTAAAACTTTATTCTCAGTTTTAAATATTAACTTATTTAATATCTGAATTAAAGAGCTGACAAAAACGAGGTTATTTTGGGAGAAAAATGAAGTCAGTATATCCACCACTATATGAAGTTTTTGGTCAACTTCTGGGGAAACAGTAACTTTTCTGCTAACTTTTAATACAAACAACTCTCACAACGCTCTTAGATCCGCCAGTAGATGAGAGTAAATGAAATGGAAAATATACCCCCGTCTAACTATAATTGTGAATTTGAGACGTTTTTAAATTTGACAATTTATCATTTTTAAAATTTTAATGGAACAAAGTTGTTATGATTTTTATCAAATTGTTAAAGAAGAATTATTATTAATAAGAAGTGAAATCCGTCAAAAATTCAAAATGTTATTAACATCCGTAAGATTCATCTAAAAATTCATGTAAAATAAACAATCCAATGCTGAAACGACTTACACGCACACACACACGCACGCACCACGCACGCACACACACCACACACACATTTTGAGATGAATCTGTAAGATTCATTTAAAAATTCATGTAAAACAATCCAATGCTGAAACGACGGGTTGGAAATATTGAATTTAACCAAAATACTTCATTAACCTAATGATATGAAAAGTTCATACACACATACCACAACACACACACAACACACACATACACAACACACACATACACACACAAGCACGTGCAGAACATGCTTACAAGATTTTTAACCGAAAGCTTTGTATGTCAAAGTTTAAACTGAAAAAAATTTAGAATAAACGAAAAACCAAACGTTAGTTAGGATTGTTTTACATGAATTTTTAAATGAATCTTATAGATTCATCTCAAAATGTGTGTGTGGTGTGTGTGCGTGCGTGGTGCGTGCGTGTGTGTGTGCGTGTAAGTCGTTTCAGCATTGGATTGTTTATTTTACATGAATTTTTAGATGAATCTTACGGATGTTAATAACATTTTGAATTTTTGACGGATTTCACTTCTTATTAATAATAATTCTTCTTTAACAATTTAATAAAAATCATAACAGTTAAAAAGTTAAATTTTGCGATTTTGTTAATACCTTGAAATAAATTTAGATTTCATAGTAAATCACACTTCAGAGTTCAAAAAAGAAAATCATCATTTACAACATATTGGTTACTTTTAGAAAAGTAAAATATATATAAGGGGGGTCAAGAGAATTTATTATTAACGTCTCGTTGTCCTTGGCAAAAGTTCAGAGTCCTTCTTAACAAGTTAGACACATTTCTGCATATGCATTATACGTTCACATTTTTTCATCTCGATATTTTATCGAGAAAAAAATAAGTTTAGTTTTTAAAATATAAAAGCCGTTGCAATACAAACATTCAGCTGATATAAATTTTAAAATATTCATAATCATCGTACTTGCCTTACAATTCGGCTGATAATTTTTCATCTTGGTGTTACACGGTTATTTTTCATTAATTTGCAAGTAATTTTCATTAAATTAGTTTTCCACTTAATGTGTTTATAAAATCTACACCTTCGAAATGTAAATTTAACACTCATTTTTGACTTTTTTTTATTTGAATAATTCAGCAACGATGCGAATAATTTTAAAAATATGAAATGTTGTTGATGTGTCTGTTCAATGTAATTGCGTCAGTCGCAGTACTATTTTTTATCAACATCCCATTAATTTACATCTTACTTTTCAAATCTGTAGTTTCTATATATCTTACAAAATTGTTGTTAATACTTTTTTGTGAGTCTATTGACTTTTCCAAGAACGTATGTTCGTATGTAATCTGTTCTATTTCAAAGAGCAAAGAATTATACAAGTTTAGTTGTTTCGGTTGTCTTGCATGTGAAGGTATGCCAATATTAGTTTAAAAAACTTCAAAATTATAATTTAAATTAAACTAAATTGAATTATGATTTGGAAAAATTTTGTTCTTATATCCTTCAGTATTTATTCAATTATTAAAAACTATTTAACAGTTATTTTGTTGAAGGAGCTCCAACAACTTCTCAATGCATACGCCTGTCTCCAAGATCGCAGCATTAACAATTTGTTGTTTGTTTGCAATCTTAACATACGCCAACTCTCTTCATGAGCCTAGAAGTGTCAGAAACGCAACCAAATGTGTGATGAGTGGGAATGAAACATGTTGGAAAGATTTTAGACTGCCGAAGGACTTGGTGCCTCAATCTTATGAGATTCTTATTCATCCTGATCTTGAACGATTTGATTTTCGTGGCTGGTCGTGTGTGGAGGTGGTTGTCAATACAAGCGTTAACTACATTGTCATGCATACCAAAGATCTCAATATCACCATAAATGATATACGCTATAAAATTTACTCAGGTCAGTAAATTTGTTTCAGAAGATACTTTTCGAAGCAAAAATTTAACCAATCTTGCCGACATAATTTTTTTAATAAAAACATTCCTTTCAAAAATTGGTAAATCAAAATTTTTAAACAGAAAAGATAGAAGTTGAGAGGCACTTTATCATTGAGAAATGGGAGCTATTGGTCATTAAACTGTCTTCTCATCTTCTGAGACATTCTGCCGTCCTAATCAATATATCCTTTGAAGGAATACTCAACGAAGTTGCACAGGGATTTTTTCAAAGTTCCTACAAAACAAATGATACCAAAAGGTTTATTGAAATGTTTATACTTCAAATCAATCACAGCGCTCATCAAACATATTGTTTTCAATAGAAAAAGTTGTTGTTTTTTTATATTATAATTTTTTATATTTTTGTTTGTATCGTTGAAGAGAAAAATTGATTTAAGTGCCAATGACGATACAATGTTGATTTAAAAAACAAAATTGTAAAGATTTAATTAACTGTTAGTTGCCAAAAAATATTACAAAACTGTTCAAAACTATGAATTTAGCAAGAAAATTATTTTTTAAGTCATTAACAACCGTAATTGCACTTATTTCAAAGTTCAAAGCCAAGTAAAATAATTCAGCTAGATTTACATTTACAAAAATTTTAAACCCAATTCATTGAATCCTGACTTTTTCAACTTTGATAAATCAATTCTCGTTAAACTTAGATATTTAGCTGCAGCACAGATGGAACCAACTTACGCCAGAACTGTCTTCCCCTGCTTTGACGAGCCACAGATGAAAGCAGAGTTCAAGATGAACATTATCAGACCAAAGCATTACATTTCATTGTTCAACACTGAAAAAGTTTGTTATGTTCTGTTTGTTTACATTAGTGAATTGAGTTGAATGCACACTGCTGCTCCCAACCCATAAATCATATGTCATGATTGCTGCTGTGATGGATGTAGATGCAGTGGAGTTTGTTAAAAATTGTAGATTTTGTTGTTTTTAAGTAATGTCGTGAATAGTTATTTCTAAACCAAAAATAAAATTTTTGAAAAAGTTTGTATAAAAATTCAATTTATGAAATTGCTTTTCTTTTGCTTTTGTTCTTTTTGTACGCAATTTTTGTTATAAAATATTTATGGATAACAAGATTTCGTTCACTAATACAAAGATATCAGAAAAAGAAGTGTCTTCGAACGAAACGATGGACACTTTCCACACCTCCCCAAAAATGAGTACCTACTTGCTGGCGTTTCTTGTGTGTGACTATTCGTCGAAAGCCCTCCTCACTAAGAGCGGGACTCATGTGGGTTAAATTCGAATTGATTCACTTTCATTTCTTAACCTTATTAAACCTTTCAATGCTGGAAGGACACAACATTGATCATTATAAAAGTACGCAACCATATATACAGAATAACATATTGTAAATGCCTGTGCTTTTTAGAAAGCGGATTGTATGGCTATGGCTGTCATATACTCAGCGTATATGATGCGGTTGACAGCAAGTAATGGCAACCTACTGTCCACAATCTCTGCCAAGAAAAACCATCGACAACTACAACAAAGCGTTAAAAAAGTCGAAGGTCGTCAATGTTCTGAAAAGGATAAGGCACAAAAATCGGCAATTAGCATATTGCACTAACCGGTCTTTATCATATCATGTGCATGTGCCATTAAACTATTAAATCCATTTTTGATATATCGCCCCTTGCACACAACAGATTGTGAACTAACTTGTTTTTATTTGAAGCTGTAATTTTTTGAAGCTCTTTATTTAACAGTTAATTATGATGACGCCTCAAAACTTTCAACCATCAACTTTTTTTCAAACAAGTGTTGATGCGAAATATTTAAGTGAAATTATTGACGAAAGTTCGTGCCCGTGAATGTCGCTCTCGTTTTGAATAACGTTTTGAAAGATATTGTGTAGCAGATCTAGGACGCTAACAATTGTCCGCTAATATTCTATGTATATTGTTTGAACATTTTTTAAAATTAAAAAAGCGCTATAAGAATGCTGAACTGCAATAATATTTTTTTGCACATTAATCTAAAACTTTTCTAAATTCTGTCTGAATTAAGACACGGTGACTATACCATGTACATTTACGAGCAAGTGCTTTTTTCAACTTTCACATTTGCTCACATTATTCATTATTAAATTGTTGTTTTCCTCAGCCACTGTTGCTGGTATTTACCGGGATTCCATGGGAATCCTGAGGTGTACGATTATTTCTTGCTACTAGAAACTTTCTAAATGTGTGATCAGTACAGATTAGAGCTAACTTCTGCACTTTTGCAACACTTATCTTTCTAGGCGGTTCACCGAGATATTTTTGCAGGCCTTGCTGTACAGTTACCAATGCAATAACTAACTACTATTGGTATCACGCGCGTTTTTGTGTTCCACATATGTTAAACCTTGATCTCAAGGTCTTTATAACTGCTTGGTTTTTTAATTTCCTTTGTAGCAACACTTGTGTCAATGGAGACAGCAACATTGTTAAGGAGGCATTTTTGTTACTTCTATTAGATTTTGATTTTCTCATCATTGAGTGCGTTTTTAAGCTTGAACTTAGTCTAAGGTCTTGGTTGGTTTCCGAGGGCATGTATTTAGCCTTGATTTTTTTTTGCTTTTATGCAAAATGGAGTACTTTCTCTTTTCTTTTTTATGGCTAAAATAGTTTGGTATATTTATCAGATTATCCGATCATTGTTGTTTAGCATAATGGTTAAAAGTATAAAGGCAATGCAGAACATTAGAGGTGAGAGTAAATCTCCTTGGTATATATCTCTTTTAATGGCTATTTTACCAATTTTAATGCTTCTCCGGTGTAACAGAACTGCTGTTCAGTGTTCCACTTCTTCATTGCAAACTGGAGAAAATTTATGACAGTTTGACTAATTCTATAAATCTTCAGTGATTTTATGATCCAACTATGAGGAACTTTATCAAAGGCTTTGCTGTAGTCGATTCAAGCCAAACTAAAACTGTGTTTTCCTTCTTTTGCGTTTTCTTCTACTGCTTTGTCCATGAGGAGTTGATTTTAGCATCCATGTGCTGATCTCCTACATCCTTTTTGCTCTGGCGCTAGGAGGTGGTTGTCATTCAGATGAAATGCAATCTTTCAGAAATCAATGCAGTTAGTAACTTGTACATAGTTGAGAGACAAGTAATCGGTCGGTAGTTTTTAATGTTCTTTTGAATCATTACCTTTTGAGAACAGATATATTTCTTCGTCGGTGAACCAGTCTGGTAGATTATCTGAATATTTGCTAGCTTCACTCATTTCTCTAGCCAGTTTTGCTTGCAAAAAATCAGAGCTCTAAATCCAAAAGTTTTTAACCTTGTCCGGTCTAGGTGCTTTCTAGTTAAGGAGGTTTATAATAATCTTTATTACCTCCTCTACTTAAAAATCATATTCCATTTTTGAGACTAAATATTTGAGTAGTGGTTGGTTTCCAGTTTGATTCAATAAGAATCGTTGTTATGTTGTTAGTATTTTCTTTGTTTTGATGATAATGATAAAACCGTTTTGTGAATCTCCTTAGTCTCCTTATTATTATCATTATTTTTTTATTATTATTACTCAACAAAAATGTTATTCTAATTATTTTTTAAACATTAACATCAAATTGTTTTTCTTATTTAAGGTTACATTGTATGCTCCGGAAAATATAATAAATCATGTTGATGTTGCTCTTGATACTGCTGTGAAGCTTATTGACTTCTATGAAATTTATTTAGGAGTCAAGTACCCTCTCTCGAAACTTGGTAGGTTAAAATTTGATGTTTAAAATTGTTGATTGAAAATTATTTCGCATTTATTAACATAGCAAACTTATTCAACTGAAATGCATGCTGAGATGTTATCACAAAATTTAAAATAAAACAAACATACTTTTTGTTGCCTATGTTAAAGTAATCCACTAAAAAATTGAAAGTTTTCTTGGTTTATAAAATTACTTTCAAAATTTCATGAGAAGAAAAAAATTCAGAAGTTCAAAAATATTTTTAAAGTTCATTTCAATATTCACTATTTATTTCGACAAACAACATTTTGAACGTGTTTATTCATTTTAATAAAAGCTTCAAATTGTCAAAAACACTCGCCATTTTTTTTTCTGGAACCAAAAAAGTAAAGATACTATCGCGCCATTCATCTGCGATGTTTTTTTTATTTTTTTTTTGTTTATTTAGAGTTTTGATTATATCTACACTTATGGAAACAAAAATTTATTATAGGTGCAAACTAAGAGCTTAAAATATGTACATATGTGTGTATTGTGTATGTATATGTATAATTTGCATCACGCATAATATATACAAATATAATATTATCACTAACAATAATCATGTGAAGAAAAAATCACAAAAAAATTTTTTGCTGAAATATTTTTTACGAATTTATCATGGGTTTGGAAAGAGTTAAAATGTTATGTCATTGTCATATACAGCGATTTTGCTTGTGTGTCGAGCTCTACAAGTTATTTCAGTTTGACATTTGGGAAGGCTACAAAAATTAGTAAAAATGATTAGCCGGGACTTTTTGAATTTTTAAGAAAAAATTAGCTTCTTATTTTAATCATTGGTAAAGTAAATGCAATTTTATAGAACAATAAAATGAAATTAAAGATGACGTTTATGATAATAAAAATAGGTTTGTGAAATTATCAAAATTTTAAAAAGAATGTGTCGGAAGAAAACTAAATTTTGTAAGTCAAGGGTTGTATGATGTTCCTGCCCCTTTGACAACTTTCTTATCTCACGCTTTTATTAACGTATTACAAACAACTGGCAGACATTGCATCCTTATCTGGTTTGGATAATGGTAATACAATTGGCTGGGGTTTGATGTTTTACGATCCGATGTTCCTGCATTTTGATCATGTAAAACATGGGGAATATGAAAAACAGCTTTTGACGCAGTCGTTGGCTCGAGAGTTGATTTTTCAGGTTAGACAATGGACAGTTTTCAAATTTATTTTATGATAATTAAAAAAAAATTATAAAATACTGTTTTAACTGCCGGAATGATCAAATTGCGCTATATCATTTGTTATCTTAATTATTTACTATCTTTGCTATATTTGTAATCTTTGGATTGTAAACCATAGAGGACTGTGAAAAATAGTGAATAAATGCTAAAAGTCTAAGCTATATATAGGTCCTGTGTAATCAGGTTTCTAGTCAGGTTTCCAGCAGAGAAAGCAAAGTCGTAAGTGTGATTTATGTAATTACATGGATTAGTTTGTTATTTCTACTACTGTTGGTTTACAAATGAACGTTCAACAAAGTTTGCGTTTAAAGCAGTTGTGGTCATCTCTCAGAAATCTTGAACCTACGAAATAAGAAACACTTGACGATCGTTGGAAGCTGGAAATATAGAGATCTTTGAAGTTATAACATTATGATAGGCGACGTGATAGCTCAAATGGTTAAAGGCGCCTGGTTTTGCTATTGCAATGACTAGGTTTGAATACAATGAAATCCTCGCCTATCATATGCAATGTGTATGATGCGTGGTTTGCAGATGTATTCATATACGCTGTGTGTGTTTGTCGTTGAAACCTCTGAAGCAAACTCAAAAGAGAAGGATTAACCTTTAACTTTTAGTGTTGGTAGTTACGAGAGTCGAGGGCTACAACAATATTTTAAAAAAGTGCCTTTGTTACTGAAGTGTCATTTCAAACACATTACTTGACATTTAAAATAGTAAGCCAGTCAAACGTTTACATTTTCGAATTGGACACTTTGTTAGGTATTGCCACTAAAGTTTACAACATTATTAATCATGAGTAACTTTTTTTTTAAATTAAACGCACACCTGTTAATATTTGGAATCAAAAACAAAACTTAGAATGACTTGTATATATTTGAGGTGAGCTTAGAAAAAATAGTTTTGAATTTTTATAGTTTCTATGGGATTCTTATGAATTATTTTTGAGGGTGGGGATCTCATAAAACGTTTTTAATAACAAGAATTTGGAAAAGAAACAGCAATGGTTTAAAAAATTGAGAGTAATTAATTTGTTACCTTTAGTGTAAATTTATTTATTAATTTATTTTCTCTGTTTGTTGTTTCCAGCCTAAGAGGCAAAAATGACCTGCCACTATACGATTCCATCTCTCCCAATCTCTTTTAGTGTTATTCTAGTTCTTCAAGTAGTTTTCCCGTGTATTGACAGCCCAGTTCCTTCCAAATCTCGACACTTTTTCTATTTTTCTTAGGTCTGCCCTTTAATCTTTTTCTCTCTGGTTAATTCCTACAAAATTTTCCAACTGTTTTAAACTTTTCCATTTTTATTATATAGCCCGCCCAGTTTATTCTTTCCTTCCTTATAACATCACCAATATTCGTTTGTCCTGCTCTTATCCTTATCTCAGGACTTGTGATAAGATCCCTGTAGCAAACTCGCCTGATTCTTTCTAGCTACAAGCTCACGCAGTTATCCAACCTCTCTTTCAACGCCCACGACTCAGCCCCATATATCAAAACCAGGACCACCATAGCGTTCTGAGCTGTTAGGTTGACCCTTAATTCAATGCCATGTATTTTGAAAATCTTGAAAATCTGAAAATCTCTGAAATACTCCTGTTACAGCTTTTTTTCAATTCCTCTTCTACTTCATTTGCATTGTTAATATGACTTCATAAATTGATCTGTTTCTAATTTTTTTCTATTCACTTTCAACTTTGGCTACAAGTGATTGGCAATATTTTTGTTTTTTGTGTTTTTGAAGTTTATATTCATACTTAATTTTACACTTTCTCGTTGTAAAACGTCGGTTAGCTCCACAACCCTCAGAACACTTCAACATTCGCTATGTGTCGTTTGCATATTCTTCATCCTGCCTCTCTATCACGGCCATGTTTTCCCGAGATCCTCGAGTTTTTTAGTCTTTTCAGTATATAGTCCAAAATGATGTTGAATAAAGTCGCCAATAAAATGCAATCTTGTCTAAAACCTTGTTTATCTAGAACTACTCCGATTCTTTCTCTTTCAATCTTATATTAACCATAATCGTACTATATATATTTTTGATCAAACTTTTGATGAAGGCAATATTTCTTGAGGATTTCCAATGTTTTTTTTCTCCAGATAGAATCATAGGCTTAGGCAAAGTTTCTGAAACATATGTAAACTTTTTTATTGAACTCTATGTTTTTTCTATCATTTGTTTTCACACGAATATCTGATCAGAGCATCATCTAACTTTTCGTTTTAGTTTTTTTTAAAAAAAGACCTTCTCTGAGGTAACTGATACGATTTACAATTTTTTTGTGAACACCTTTTTCGGTTCTGAGCAGGCTTATTCTTTCTGACTTGCTGTATATTTTTCTATCCTTTTTGGTAGATAGGAAATATTGTTGCTTTTTTCAGTCCTCTGAGATAATCTTTTTTCTCTCAATACCGCGTTTATTACCTTGTGAAGTCAGTTAATAGTGCCTGTTTTTCTGTTTTGCTAAAATTCTGCAATTATATTCTTTGTGTTTTGTTCTTCCTTGGATTAATCACCGTTTTTACCTCCCTCACATTGATGTTATCTGTCATCTTTTTTGTTTTGAATTTTTCCACACACGCTTATACGCGATTTATGAATATTAATGTGTGTGTGGTTAGCTCGTTTTCATATTATCAAAAATTATTTGCGTTTTGGCAACCACTAGTGAAGGAGATTTTAAAATTGTATGTGCTTTGAAAAAAGCATTAAAAGACTAAAATTTTATATACTACATTGAATATTGTGCATGTTAAAGTACGCACGTTTTTTATATGAGTGTTTGTATTTATCCGTTTTTACCGATACCAAGATATTGGGTTGCGATTTAACTGTTACCGTCGTTTCGATAATTCGCAAAAGTATCAGCAATTTCCAGACACCAGTGCTGATCTTTTTCTCTTTTCCTATAAAATACCGATAGGTTGGTACTGCATTTCTTTTTAGTGCTCGACCACAACAAGTAGATTGAAATGGCCATTATTATTATTATTATTATTATTATTATTATTATTATTATTATTATTATTATTATTATTATTATTATTATTACTTTTAGAACATTTATAAAGCGCCAATTAAATCAATATCTCACAGACGCTATTACATTCATATAAAATTCACAATTACAAAATAACAGCAATAAGTCAATGAATCCACAGAAACAAAATCACCAACAATAATAGAACCTGGTAAATAAATTTCAATCCCAATAGCTACAACTTGGAATAAGCTGTTTTCTATATAAATTCATTCATACTAATAATCATTCACTAAATAATAGAATCAGTTAGAAACATTCACCAAAATAAACAACATTAACCTGCCACATTAAAAGGTGAATCAAACATCTAGACTGAAATGATATACATATTGAAGTCACAAAAACATAGCAAAACCAATAAAAATTCTATAATGTGAAAAAATAAGATTTCAGTAATTTTTTAAACGAAAGTAAACTTAAACCAAGATTTTTCAAATAAGATGGCAAACTGTTCCACGCAGTAGGACCACAAACAGAAAAATTATTTCTCCAATCCTTAGCTTGGTAGTTTTATTCAGTTACATCTTGGAGATGCGCGAAATAGTGAATTTGGCAGAAGGCCAAAGACTAAAAAACCTACTACTTTGAAAAAAAATTCTTAAAATAAAAACAAGCTAATTAAAAAAGGCAATTTACGTAAATCCACTTATTTATTGAGATAATATTTAACTTCTTGTTTGAATTTAGATGTTCCAACAACTATAATGTAAAAAAATAAATTTCTTGCCAATAATATTTAAAAATTATTGTTTTAGAATCCAAAAAAGTAATAGTTTTAACGAAAGTAGCATTATTTGGCTATTTGGCCTATAATGGTTAAAGCTGAATACAGATGTCAAATTTTCGCCAAATTTTCGATAAGGCCGAACTTTCGGTGCGTCTCTAGTTAAAATATAAAAAAAAATTGTGAAAGATAGAAAGCACATGAATATTAACGATATTTTTATTTTAGTTTAGTACACAAGTGCTTATGTTATTAAGATTCAGTGACAATTAAAGTCACAAACTTCGTCATCGAACATTTTTTGCTCTGAGAAAGAATTCAAAGAGGTTTTATATGAAATATCATCATTACCATAACCTTTTTTACACTGAAATATTGCACAAAATAGAAAACATGTTGGCATAAACGTATCAAAAATTACATTAATAAACTAAATGGCACAACAAATTTAATTTGTTTCGCATCTTAAGAAATGGAGGAGATAAAGAAGTGACCTTCTAAATATATCTAACGTAACTCTTGGCTCCAAACAAATAAAAAGTGGTGAGTTTGAAACTTAAGAAACGCTTCTGCACCGGTTTTTCTTGATGGTCCATTCTGAGGAATTAACGATCTATTTTAGAATTATAAATAGTTTTGATTGAACTGTAATAAATATAAAAAATTTTTATTAAATTCTGTAGAGTATTCTTGAGAAAAAAATTTGTTTTTGACTAGTAACTTTTAATTTCCTTGTTTTCTTCATGGTACTTTAAATAAAATATAAGAATTTTTATTTCATTTTTTTAGTGGTTTGGCAACTTAGTGACCATGAAATGGTGGGATGACTTTTGGGTGTATAAATCTTTTGGAATGTTTCTACAATACGTTGGGGCAGATCACCTCCTTCCAGGCCATCAGATGGTAAGTTGATAATAACTCCTCCATTCCATAACGACTCTTCGAGGGCCACGATTAAAGTTTAAATTTTTTAAACTTTCAAAAAGGATTGATGGTTGGTTACGGATTATTATCCATTATTTTAATGATTCATATGTAGCCAATTATCGGAAAAAATATTAGAAATGGAAATAATTTTTTTTTCTAGAGGGAGAGGCTTTTTAGTAGAACAACGCTTCAATCTCTGTCGACGGCTAATTCACGCGTGCTTTCTGTTCCCGTTGAAAATCCCAATCAACTTCCGGAATTATTTGATCACGTCAAGTATTGCAAAGTGTGTTTTGATATTCATAACTGATTCTTGCTTGAGAATTTTAAAATTATGAATTATCACGAGTTTACAAAGTTGCAATTAGTAAATTGTTCAATTTCTAAGTGAAAAAATTATATGTTGAAAATATGAACAAAACCCCTTGTACCATTTTGGCGATTTTATTACAATACATCACCTCATAAAAAAAGACATAAATCAACATATGAAAAAACACATAGCTTACTATTATTTATTGATATTTTAGAAACAATTTTAAGAAAATAACTTTATTTATGGTTGCTCTGAAAAGCAAATGATAAAACGCCACTAACTGTGGTTTCGATGTTATCGTCTACAAAATGTTGTTGACTTTTAATAGCAGAAACAATTTTAAAACAGAACAAACTCTGGTTAAACGTAGTTAAATCAAATTTAGACAATTTCAACTCTTAACACGAATTAAGTTTTTTGGTTAAATTTATTTAAATTTTGATCATATTTGCTCAAAAAGTTTATTTATTGAACAGTCTAAAATCATAATAATAAAATGAATCTAAGTTACTGCACATTGCAACTGATCATAAAACAACAATTGATATGAACCAGGGTGCCTCAATCATTCAAATGCTAGAAAGTGTTATCGGACCTGAAATATTCCAAAAAGCTGTAAAAAATTTTTTAACCGAACACGAGTTCAAGAGTGCCAAAAGTAGCGATTTGTGGGAATCGTTCACTAAGGAGGTCAGTTATAACAGCCATTTAATTATATTTTTCATTGAGTTTGTCCACTGCTTTTGCTCATTAGTCCAGTGGCTCTCTCAACATCGACGTGAAAGAAATGATGGATACGTGGACTCAGCAGATGGGGTTCCCTCTAGTCAGCATAAGCAGGAACGGCCGGCAGGTGACATGTCGCCAGGAGAGGTATGTCGTCGTTGACCACTCAAAGACTGGTGATGTTAACATAGAAGTTTCCAAATTCAAGTTGGTGACGATGACAATTGCAACATTTCAACGAACTTCAAAATGTAATGTAAATTAAAGATTTTTTGCGTCAGTATTTTTCATAATTTAAAAAATAAATGATCAAATACTATCAATGCAAACATCGTCCAACAGCTACACCTGGTACATCCCACTCACCTACATAACCGACAAAAACTTGACACCTCATTCAGTCGTCATTTTCAAGAACAAAACAAGTAAGTTTTGGTGGTGAAGAAGTTGACGACGACGATGATGATTATGGCGATGAGGGGATAAAATTATCAAAGATGATAATGATGGTTATAAATGATGGCGCGATCATAATGGTGAAATTGGCCTTACATTGATAAATGCTAATTAATTTTATTTACTAGTAATGATGTATTTACTTTTTTATTCAGTGACCTTTCAATTGCCACGAAACGTTAATTGGCTGAAAGTGAATACCAAAATGCCAGGTATGTTGGCCTGGTGCTGCACTTAAACACGGATGTTATACTAATCTTTTAATACATATCTATTAAAAAAAAATTTTATTCAATAAATATTATTTCCCATTACCAATATTTTGTAATTATTTTTAAATTACAAAATCTAAACCTCAATATACTTTTCAAGGTTTCTACCGAGTCAACTATGATATGAACGGCTGGTCTGGAATCATCAACCAGCTCAAGTCAAACCATAAGGTTACATTATTTTTTGCTTGAAGGCATTGAAGGGATGATAACAACGAAGAAGACAATTAAGATAGCAATGATAATGTTAATTGTGTCGGCAAAAATATAATGAAAATGTTGACTGTGACTTTCCAGAACCTCGAGAATAGATATTTTCATTTCCGGAGTGTTTCGTCTTTTTTGCAAGACGAGTAGACAGGCTGAATTTAAATTTATTGAGAAAATGATTGCTGTCGACTGATATGATGAGGATCTATTGCAAAACATTTAGTTTTTAGGTCTGTTTGAAATAATGGAATATTTGAAATAAAGTTTTAAATGTTGATGGCAATAACTGAACCATCTTCCTCCGCGCAGGTCTTCTCGTCCATAGAAAGAAGCAGTTTGATCTCGGATGCTTTCACCCTTGCCAGGTTTTGCGTTGATATTTTTTAACAATGTCTTTTTCATTTTTTGTGTTTATCTAACGTTCATATTATTTAACTTCTAGAAGCATTAACAAGCACACAGTCTATGCTGAAATAAAAGAGTGAATTAACGCATCGCATTACACACACAGAAACACCACACAGACACACCCCACACACAAACACCACACAGAACACCCCACACACAAACACCACACACACACACACACACACACACACACACTCAAACACACTGAATGTGATAGGCTTTTATTTTGAATCCAATCACGCGTCTTCAACAATTACATTATCTTGCCGCCCAAAAAAATGATGTTAAAATTTTCTACCATTTTTGTACTCATTTGAACATGTTTATTTTTTGCCAATGCTCTTTCAATTAATTAAATCAAATCAGAAAAGTATCTAAATATCCATCTAATCAAGAAAGTTAAGATAACTCCTTAGTTCTTAGGTGCATGCTTTATTATAATTTATACACAGTTCAGGTCACTTGAAATTGACAAAGGTCCTTGAACTTTGTTTGTATATGGAAAAAGAAGATGACTACACGCCATGGTCGATGATGCTGAATGGCATCAGTTCATTCTTCGATCTATTTTCATCTAATCCTCATTTCGGCAAATTTAAAGTAGGAATGGTTTAAATGAAAATTACAAAAACTAACGTCAAATATTCAACAAAATTGAAACTAACATTTGAAAAATCAACGTAAAAGGAATTTTTGAAAAAAATAATGTCACCAATGCTGACCAAACTTGGCATGAATGACGAAGGAACTATTGATAGAAAGTTAGTGAGCATGTTGTTTGGAAATAAATCATAATTATTTACGGAAAATTGTTTGAAATGATTTTTGTTTAAACATTACTTCAAAGTAATTAATAATTTTGATCTTTACATCCTGTAGAGAATTAAGATATGAAATGATGGCCTTTGCGATCAAACTTGGCTTGCAGGAGTACGTAGATTGGGTGAAGAATTCATTCAAGAAGGCCGTCAATGGGACGAAGTTAGCGCAGTATTTATTATCAGACGTTGACAGAAAGGACAAAATTATTTCGCTAAAAATGACGCTGCTCTAATCAATCATTTATCACTGATTTTGTATTTTAATTTATTTTCTGATAAAAGCTTAAAATATTTGTCAGTAATGTAAATTAGATTGAATAGCTTATTTGACAAAACTTCTCCATAAAACAGTATCAGTTAATTATTTGTTACAGTTTTATTCATTTTCTAGAATTCTTGTGATCAATCGTCTACTAAATTAAATTCAGACTATTAGTGGAACATGATTCGCTCGTATATAAGTATGCGGTGAGATATGGTGGAGAGGAAGAATGGAAGTATGTGATGAACATGGCCATGAATCCCAACGCATCATTCATTGAAAGCTATATTGGGCTAGAAGCACTTGGCTACACCACAGATCGCGTGAAAATCAAAAAGTTTGTGTAAACTTGTTGTTAGTAACTGCTTGGGTAAATTTCAGATTTTTTATTTATACAATTTTAGTTTAAAGTTTGTTTATATAAAAGCTCATCTTAATTTAAGCACCATTTATTTTGGGTAAAATCATATCTTTTTGAATATGTTTTAATACTGCCGGTCGCAAAAAAAGACATGATTTTCTCGCTGTGCCGGTTACGGGAAATGTACAGACAAAAAGGTTAAAAGCCTTGTAAACTTCAAAAATTTAGAGAAATTAACAATACATAATCAGCGCATATGAATGTATACGTGCCAAACGATGCATTACACGCAGAGCATAGCATGTCAAAAGTGGAAATCTTTTTGTTATATTCAAACCCGTCACTGCACCCACTGCTAAATAGGACCAGACGTTTTTAACTAAGAAGCCACTACACTACTAAAACACGAAAGTATTTACATCCATACCGGGTCTAACGGAAAGTTCTGCAACATCACTTGTCTACGCGCCAGACCAAAAGTTACAAATTTGTTCAAAGTAAGATGTTTTTGATGCTGATGAAGAATTTTTGGTGTCATCCACCAAAAATGTACTTAAGCAGCTTAACAGCTGCTGAAGTACATCTGCCGTGCTGCGTCTTCACACAATAAAATTAAAATCAAAAAATTTAGTTAACTAGAATAAACGCTTTTATGAGATAATTATGACTTTAGAATCATTTCATTTAAAACATCACCAAACTTTGAATACCATGACAATTGTCGTTGTTTATTAACACAACCAAACCAATAACTATGTTGATGTAAAGTTGTTCATTGAAATCTGTGGCCCTTTTAAACTTTTTCAACAAAATGAAATTAATTATAATTGTTAAACATCTAATGCTTCAGATTGCTAGAAATGTCTTTCAACCAGACCCTGCTGGAGTCACTGGAGACTTTTAGAATCCTGGAATCAATTAAAGATAATCCGGCTAATAAAGAGATTCAGTGGGATTTTATAAAGACAAACTGGAACAAAACAAATGAAATGTGAATAGTAAATAGTTATTAATTTCATTAAAAGTATTATATAAAATAATAATTATGAATAATCAGACATCTAAAATGTAAATAGCAAATAACTATAAGTAGCAATGCCTTATTTTGCCTATCGATATGTAATGTCTTATTTTGCGCATGTGAAAGAGTGTCCTTCAGATGTTTAGGGATCGAACCCTCAAATTTTTTGATAGGTCAAGAAGGTTGTTGAGTATAAGGTTGAATTTTAAGGAGTTGATGGCATCGAGAACAGTTAGAGGTATGAACGTGACAGATTAGATCATTGTTGGTATGGTTGTGTGGAAAGGATAAAACATTTTTCAGTGGCTTGAGCTGAAGGTGTTGAGATAAGAGTTATTAAGATTGGACTAAGCTTTATTAGTCTGCTAATAGGGTTGAGTTTCATAGGACTGGTATGATCTTAGTTTCCTGGTGAAGGTATTTTATTCGCGTTATACGTTATTCGCGTTATACGTAAGACAGAATTTTAGGAGGTCTGTAATTTGGTGGAAAAGATTATGGGTAATCATCCTGGTGGGAGAGATCCTGGTTAGCCATCCATCTAAACAACACCCGTTGCTTAGTTGGATGGCTAGTCGGCAGTTTGTTTTGTTTGTCATGAAAAACCTTTTTTTGTAGTCCCCAGTTTGAGCCAGTTAAAGATTTTAATGTTTAGTTCCGTTGTTAGCATTTTTGCTACTGTTAGTGGATGTTTGTTTAATGAAAAAAAGTTGTCAATGTTGATGCCGAGAATCTGGAATGAGTGGTTGTGATTGGTCTAGGAGTTGGCCAGAGGATGAGATAGTGAGGTCATCTGCGCAGTTGTTTACATTAGTTTTGTGTAGAGGAACAGGTAAGTCTATGATGTAAGCATTTAATAGGGCTTGTGGGATCACAGACTTTTGGGGTGCCTCTGTGTGGATTGTTCTTGTAGTTGAGGAGGTATAGCAAAGTTGAGCTTTGCAATGGTGGCTAGAAAGGTAGTTGGAGATTATCTAGAGATAAAGGCTGGCGGTTGATATTGAGCAAAGAGAGGTGGTTGGCTGAGTCGAAAGCTTTAGTCATTAGTCATTTTGATATTTCGAAACAAATAATGCTCATCAATAAATTTGTTACAATATAATCTATTCAATTTTTATCAATTATTTTGTAAAATGCTACACAATTTAATTGTATGAATGAAAGTAATAATGAAAAAATATAACGAATGAACTCGAACGCAATCAATCAGTTTCCATGATAGACATTCTAAACTGTTGGAACTTATAAAATATATGTCAACGCATTTCTCGACTGAGGCAGAATATAACGAAGTAAGCCTAATTATGTTTTTAATAAACAACAATTTTAAAACTGCATCTCAAACTACTGATCAACTTTTTACCTTGACTTGTAATTCTTCAGAAAAAAAACTTTTGAACAATAGTAACAGAACTTTTATTTAAAAAAAAATATAAAAGTTGCCCAAGGCATTACGAATGTGTTTTTTTTTTGTTTTTTGGATATGATTTCACCTAAACATATTTTAAATGTTTTTCAATTTATCAAATGTATTGAAATTAGTCATTATTAATTAATCTAAAAAAATATTAAATTATTCATGCCGACTGTATGATGAAACTAAGGCACATGTTTCAGTTGAAATCGTTCCTCAGCTTGAACATGACCGTGGGAAGTGAAAACCAGAAGACAGAACTTTTGGATCGTATTCGTGGGAATATCAAATGGAAGGAAAATAACGAAAGAGAACTTGTTCACTGGCTCAAACACCGTTTTCAATGATGAAATTTCAATTGGAACCGAAAGTTATTTGAGGAGATTTTGGTAGACAATTTAATATTACGATGAATCTTGTTGAGTTGTAAATGTCATTTTAAATACAAACTTATTTATTTATTAATTTATTCAATTTTTAATGAATTTGTCATTACATATTTTACAGGAAAAAACATTTGAACCATTAAATTACAAAAAATTTAGTGAAATACTCACAAATGGTAAATGATGACTTACGTTCAATCTTCTTACCCTATAATTATAAAACAAGAGCTCTGAAGAACATCAATGTTTATAAGACCAAAACGGAACATGATATAAAATTTAAATATCGCATATGGCCGGCTTTTATAAATGCCACAAACAATAAAATTTTTATTTACCCAAAAATAGTGTGAAAGGAACCCCCCCAGGACATATCGAGCACAGCCACCTCAACAAAATTTTATGAATATATCAAATGAATGTTACAATAATTACAAAGAAGAATGTTTAACAAATTTAACTACAAAGAGACATATATAAATCAATTAAATTTTAATTAATTGTTACTAATTATCAAAGATATATATATATATATATAAATAGTGGCAACGGTATCACAATAATAATAATAATAATAATAATATGTACCGTTTTAAGTTTAGAATGATAGGAAAAACAATATTCATAACAATAAAAATTAAATCAAGTTTAAAAAAAATAGTTAGAAAGTGTTTGTAGCACGAACGAAATCCTGAATCTTATAAAACCAGTAGTTAATATTTTCATTCTTTAAAAAATATGATTAATCATTTTTACGTTTTAGAGAACATTTAACAATATTGAAAATCTTTTTAAACAAATATTTGACAATAAAAGTTACAAGCACAGCTGAGATTAGAATCGTTAATAACAAAACACAGAAGATGTCGAACATGATAAATTGAAACCAATACAAATCCGATGCACCAGACTTCAAATGTTCATCTCCATATTTCACCACGTGATTTATGGCGTCCGAAACTCTTTCAGCAGCTGACGTTTTCCTATCTCTCAGTATATCGGATGACCTTTTAATACTTTCTTCGAATGTTTTGTTGTTCAAAACACGGATTATGTTGTTTCTAAGTTCATCAACTTCCCAGTTACTAAAGTCCATTTCAACTCCATAATTGTGTCTTTCAGCGTATGAAGCCAAACCAATTTGATCATTCATCAATGGAAACACAACAACGGGTTTGGCGTGATACACACTTTCCATCATGCTGTTGAACCCACCATGGGTTACAAACAGTTTTATGCGACTGTCAGCTAACAAATCGTTTTGGGGGATCCATGGCTGAGTTAACAAATTTTTGGGATGATCGCCACAAAGTGTTTTGTTTTTTGACTTGAAAATAAATTTATAGTTTTCCAACCTTTGGAAAGAAGAACAAAACTTTTTCACAGTTTCTTCATTTAGGTATTCTACATAACTTCCAAATGAAACTAATATGGCATTTGAGTTTCCTATAAATTTATCCAACTCGTATGGAAGAGGGTAACTTGGATAGCCAACCACAATATCTCCGACACTCATCGTGTTAGGCATGTTCGGGCGTGGGTATCCTAAAGTTAGATCTTCCAAATACAAATAATAACTTGCCTTCCTACTTATCGTAAAAATATTTTCCTTTTCAACATCCTTGATTGAAAATTCTTCTGCGAAGGGTGGTCTTTTGAGTAGCGTATTAACTAATAAATCTAAACAATCTCCAATGAACGTTTGAAACCTTTGCCCAAAATTCATACGGTCTGTGTGTTTGTTACGGTGGCTTGGAACAAACGAAGGAAGCCTTGGGACGCCGTATAACCAAGCATCAAAAGATACAGAAAAAGCGAAATACTTTTTATTCATCAATTTTGGTAAACACACATAACAATCAGCGCTCATCATGTCCAGTATCACAACATCAAAGGCTCTTTCGTGCACCAAGTTATGTATCAACTTTTTGTTCCTCATCAATGCTCTGCAGTCATCATCGGTCCCTTTAACCAAGTAGTCAAACATTGAGAGACCTGTTTTAATGTATTGAATCGCATTCGGTTTATTTAATGCAAAGCTCATAAAAAATTCAGACGTTTTCTTCGTGTTGAAGATAGAAACGTTTGATTCAACAGGATATTTTGTAATGACGAAACTCCCATTACTGAATTCTTGCGAGATTTTTGCATTGGAGGGAACTATCATTTCGACGTAGTGCCCCAACTTGGACAGACCTTGTCCCAATCTGGCGAAATAGATATGATGAGAGTTCATATTTATTGGCAACATCAGGACCTGATGCTGAGATGTTGGTGGTGCTGACTGCAGCAGGATCGTGCAGAACGTACACACCAATGAAATACTTTTGAAATACATTTCAAAAGTGTTTCAAGTATTTCAGAAAGTTTCAAAAACTAAGTCTAACTGTTGAATTTAATTTAATTCTAATATATACACGATGATATAATGGGCAACTTCGTAATTAATCCCAACAAATTGATCGGTCAAAGAACAAATCGAGTTTTTAAAATTAAAATTGTCTGGTTAAAACTCGATGTTTTTATTGAAATTTCTTAAATACAATTATACTCTCTTTTTTTATCAATCAACTCTCTCTCCTATCTCTCTCTCTTTTTCTGTCTTTAAATATTTATAAACATATATTTAATATATATACACATATTTTTAATATATATATATTTATATTTAAATAAATAAATAAATATATATATATATATATATATATATATATATATATATACATACACACACATATATTATCTCAACTTACGACAATTTTAGGATGTTGTTATCTGTTGGACTATGCACCTCACGAAGAGCTTTTTGAAGTTAAAACTGCTAGGTTAAATGTATGTTATACATCGTACGAGTGTTTTAATACTTTTATCAAGGTTGTGTTAATTGAAAATGTTATGTGTCTCGTCGGTCAAACAAAGTAAGAGCATGCCCGCGTGGTAGGAACTTCAATATTTATTTCATTTATTTACTAACTTTTATTGCCACATTTTTTTTTACATTTTATATTTAAAATTACGCGTTGTCGTTTTTTGTGATTAAACATTTGTAGTTATTTTTGTTTTCATGGCTTGATTTATTGCAATTACCTTCCCACTAAATAGTTTTATTTATGAAGTTTTTTTTCGTAAACTACCCACAAAACTACAAAACCGATCACATTTTATGCCCTCCAATAAAATGACTGCGAGCGGATTGCCAGGTCAATGAAATAGTTCCAAATTATATATAAATTTAGCATAGCGCTACTTTTAAACGCATCGGTTATATTACCTAAAACGGGTTATACAATGCTATATCAATATACTCTTCAAAAAAGTACGAAACTAACAACAACAACAACCACTTGATTCACCTTTAAGTGACAACTTTCGTCAAAGTTACCAAAACTTTCAACTTCGTTACTCAATCAGCTTATCAGGACAAGATCTTCTAAAAAGACATCTTATATATATATATTAGCACTCCAGATAAATATATGTCATTTGTTCAATTTTGTTTATTTTTTTTCTCTAATATGCAATCTACACTTACAATATACTACTTACATACATACATACATTCATACATACATACATACATACATACATACATACATACATACATACATACATACATACATACATACATACATACATACATACATACATACATACATACATACATACATACATACATACATACATACATACA